ATGTGTGACCACAGTCAGCCAGCCACCTTGCGCCTCACTGGGTCCGCCTGTTGCCACCCCCACACCTGGGATCTATCAACCGCCGCCTGCATGTCTGAGTCTCTCTGGTCCGGCCGCTTTTTTCTGCAGGACCCGCTCCTCCAGCTGCCGACTGACTCCGCCCTTCTAACCGGTCTGTATGAAGGGTTTGTTGTTGTCGGGCTTCCGTACAGTTCAATTTTCTGTGTTTTGTTTGCGTTCTTGTTACTAAAACTTTGTTGTCTTTAAACTTGGTTGTGCAAGGAGGCACAGTGTTTCCACCTACTCTTCCATCTTGTCCAGAAGTCCAAAGATAAAGAATCTTAAAAGCAGCAAGAGAAAAGGAGATAGTTACCTACAAAGGAGTCCCCATAAGACTGTCAGCTAATTTCTCAAAGGATACCTTGCAGGCAAGAAGGGGCTGGAATAAAGTATTGAAAGTCATGAAAGGCAAGGACCTACATCTGAGATTACTCTATTCAGCAAAGCTATCATTTAGAATGGAAGGGCAGATAAAGTGCTCCCAGATAAAGTCAAGTTAAAAGAGTTCATCATTACCAAGTCCTTAGTATATTAAATGTTAAAGGGATTTATCTAAGAAAAATAAGATAAAAAATATGAATAGTACCTTGGCTGGTGTGGCTCAGTGGAATGAGTGTTGGCCTACAAACCAAGGGTCGCCTATTTGCAGTCAAGGCACATATGTGGGTTGTGGGCCAGGTACCCAATAGGGTGGTTGAAAGGCAACCACCCACTGATGTTTTTCTCCCTCTCTTTCTCCTTTCTTGTCTATAAAAATAAATTAATTTAAAAAATTAATAAGTGATTTAAAAATAAAAAAATATGAACAGTAAAGTGGCAATAAACTCACAATTATCAACAACTAAACCTAAAAAAATAAAAACAAAGCACATAACTAGAACAGGAACAGAATCACAGACATGGAGATCATATGGAGGTTTATTAGTGGGGAGGCGGAGTAGGAGAATGGGGTAAAAGGTACAGAGAATAAAAAGCATAAACGGTTGGTACGAAATAGACGGGGAGGTTAAGAATAGTATAGGAAATGGAGAAGCCAAAGAACTTACATGTACAACCCATGGATATTAATTAAGGCAGGGAATGATGGTAGGAGGGAGTTGTAGGGCAGAGTGGAATAAAGGGGAGAAAAAAATGGGATGACTGTAATAGCTTAATTAATTAAATGTACTTTTTAATTTTGTTTTATTTTATTTTATTTTTTATTTTAATTAATTTTATTTAGTTATTTTTTAAGTACAGGTTTTTTTGTCTATTTCTCCCATCCCAGCCTCCCCCACCCCTTGCTCTCCAAATGTACTTTTTTTATTTTTAAATATTTTTATTTATTTATTTTTAGAGAGAGAGGAAGGGAGGGAGAGAGGGAGAGAAACATCATGTGTAGCTGCCTCTCATGCACCCCCTACTGGGAACCTGGCCCACAACCCAGGTATGTGCCCTGACTAGGAACCAAACCAGTGACCCCTTGGTTCACAGGCTGTTCACAATCCACTGAACCACATTAGCCAGGGCTAAAATATACTTAAAAAAATAGAGCAAAAGAAGAAAAAGTTGAGAGGAAGGTAGAGATTTCCTCTATACTCATTCCCTCCCCCCACATATTCATAGCCTGCCTGCTATCAACATAAGTCACCAGAATGGTCCATGTTACCAAGCAGGAACCTATACCCACACATCATAATCACCCAAAGTTCATGCTTTACCTCAGGGTTGATTCTTGGTATAGCACATGCTATTGGACAAATATATAATGACATGTATCCATTACTGTAATATCACAGAGTATTTTCTGCCCCAAAATCCTCTGTGCTCTGCCTATTCATTCCTCCTCCTGCAACCCCTGACAAGCTCTGAACTTTCTATTGTCTCCATAATTTTGATAGGCAGTATTTTTTTAAAAATCTGTTTGTTAATATTTTTAGAGAGAGAGAAAGGGATATAGAGAGAGGAACATTGATGTGAGAAACATCGATTGGTTGCCTACCATTCGCACCCCTAGCTGGGTATCAAATGCACAACGTAGGTATGTGCCCTGACCAGGGATCGAACCCCCAACTTTTAGGTAGACAGTATGGCCCTCCAGCCAACTGAGCCACACTGGCCAGGGTGACAGGCAGTATTTTTTTTAATTAAAATATTTATTTTGAAATAATTTTTTCCCTGAAGACTCACATGCAGTTATAAGAAATAATACAGAGAAACACCACGTATTCTTTACCAATTTTCCCCAATATATCTTGCAAAACTATCCTATTATATACAACCAGTCAACACATAGGGCCATTCCATCACTATTAGATATTGCCCTTTTCTAGCCACACCCACCTTCCCCCTGCCTCAAGTCCCTGATGTCTGGAAACCACTAGTCTATTCTCCATTTCTAAAATTTTGTCATTTTAAGAATGTCATATAGCCCTGGCTGGCTGGCTCAGTGGATTGTGTGCCAGCCTGTGAATGAAAATGTCGTCAGTCCAAGTGCAGTCAGGGCACATGCCAGGGTTGCGGGTCCGGTCCCCAATTAGGAGTGTGTGAGAAGCAACCAATCGATGTTTCTCTCACACATCAATGTTTCTCTCCCTCTCCTTCTCCCTCCCTTCCTCTCTCTCTAACAATAAGTAAAATCTTAAAAAAAAAAAAAAAAGAATGTCATGTAAATGGAGTCACATATTATTATAACCTTTGAGATTGGCTTTTTTTCATTCATCATAATTCCATGGAGATTCATATACTATTGTTTATATCAATAGTTTTGTTCCTTTTTATTGTTCAGTAGTATTCCCTGGTATGAATATATCACAGGTTTTAAAAACTTTTTTATTTTTATTTTTTATTTTGAGGGTATGTTTATTAAAGCTGGAGACAGTGAAACAAGGAAGGGCTTAGGATAGAAGAAGCAACAGGAGAGAGCCTGGGCGGGGCTGCTTTGGTTCTCCAGAAACGTTGTGGGGAAGAAGTGAGCCAAGGCAGGGACACTGTCAGCCCTCTGGAGAGTCAGAGAAAAGGGGGATGGGGACAGGTTTGGGGGATTAGTCTCAGATGAGCTGCTGCTGCCCATAGCTTCCCTGGTTCCAAGTCTTGTGGGGTGCCTTAGAGTTTAGGAGGTGCAGGCCTGTGGGGGAAGAAGAGGGGAAAGAGAAAGACGTAGGCATGTTCCCAGGAGGGAGAGCGTGCCTGGGTGTACCAGTTTAACCATTCACTCACTGAAGGACATTTGAGTTGGTTCCAGTGTTTTACTATCATAAATAAAACTATCAATGTTCGTGTATAGATCTGCACACAAATGCTAACACACAATTTTGCGTAAACAGTAGAAGATTTACTGAAGCTTATTCAAGAAAGGAAGCATGAACCGTGATATTACAGAGAACTAGTTTGAGGGTGAGTGAGGCTGCCCAGAGAGTGCAAGAGGGAAAGGTGAGAGAGTCCACATAGAACAAACCTTTCAAAATAGAAGCATTTGGGGGATGGACAACAGAAGCAGAGAGTGAAGCAGGCAGGGAGGGAGCAAAGAGAAAGGTGGGAGGAGACTCAGGAAGGGTGGTGTCCAGGAGCCAAAGAAGGGAGCGTTTCAGGAAGTAATGTCTGAAGCTGTCAGATGGTCTTTGGTGATATTGGTGGAATGATGGGGCTTAAGCCCCACTGGTGTGGGTGAAGAAAGATGGGGAGGTAGAGAGTGTTAGATAGATCTCATTAGATACTTGATGTTGAAAAGAGGGAGAGATGGGTACTTGGGTTCAAGAGGGCATTCTAGAGCAATTTGAGCATGTGTCATGGCTCAAGGGAAGAAGTTGCAGGCAGCGTTGGGACAGGGGCTAGTTGGTGGTGAGTGGTTTCTGAGGGAGCAGCAGGAGATGGAGGGAAGGTCTAGCCTCAGGAGGGACACAGCCTGCATTGTGACAGGGGAAAGTGTGGGTTCACTTTGGCTGATGAGCTAAGGGTTCTAATTTGCATTGCTGTTAGAAGCTGGGGCAGGATCCAGGTAAGAGCTGAAAGATTGGAGGGAGAACATTGGCTGTGGAGACAGAAAAAAGGAGACACCCTCTGGGTTCCTTGGGATGAAGGCAATGTGCCTCGGTGTCCTATGAGGTGTGACTAGGCCTATCCTCCAGCTAGTGACATGGCTGGATAAGTGTACTACTGTGAACCTCCACACTGACTAGTTGGAAAACACAGAAGTAGTCTGCTTCTCAAGAGTCCTTGACTACAAATTAAGATTATGGTATTTATTGAGGAGTGCAAAAGACAAGCATGCATTGGGAAAGAAGGGAAGCAAGGACTCCTGAGTGCAAGCAGATTTGTGGGCTTTGCGGGATGTGGATGAAGAAGACTTGGTAACATGATTTTCAGAGGTGCTGTACCACTTAGGACTGGATTCAGCCACGATGGAGAGCAGCACAAACTGTGAGTGACTGAGTAGGCTAGAAGTTCATTTCTCTCACATGGGAGTTAGGAGGAAGACAGTCCAAAGCTATGAGGGCGACTGTGTTCTACAAAATTCTCAGAGGTCCAGGATTTTTCCACTTTTTTTTTTTTGCCCTGCAGTCCCTAGGGTATGGCCCTTTTCCTCATGATCTGGGATGGCAGCTAGAGTTCCCATCATCATATTCTTGTTTTAGGAAGCAGGATGGGGGATGGGACAAAAAGACAATCAAATACCAGGGAGCTTTTAAGAAAACTTCCCAGAAACTGCCGTACACAGCCCATTGGCTAGAACTTAGACATTCCCTAGCTACGGGGGTGGCTGGGAAGTGTCATCTTCAATCCGGAACCATGTTTTCAGCCCAAGTCTTGGGTTCTGTTGTAGTGGAGGCACAAGAGCATGTATGTCAGGGTGCAGCCAGCTATCTTTGCCATGGAGGCTTACAGTGAGTCGGGCTTGTAAGGGTGAAATCAGAGCAGGATGCTGGGCCCACCTTCTAAAGAGGTTTCATTTCTTTCTTCAGGAATGGACAATCAGACCGTCCTGGCTGTCCAGTCGTTGTTGGATGGCCAAGGAGCAGTCCCTGATCCAACAGGACAGAGCGTCAACGCACCCCCTGCTATCCAGCCACTGGGTGAGTATCTGCTTAGTGGGAAGGGTGAGTGGCTTCCCTTGAAAAACAACTGGTACTCGTGAAGGGGTGTGGGAGGGAATTGCCCATATGGTCCCCTGGATGTCTGCTGTCTGAACCATCTCCCCTTCCTCCCAGCCTGGATCTTCAGGCTAATGCCTTTCTCTGCTTAGCTCTGAGGACACTCTATTTCAATCACTTAGTGAATGTGGGGATCATGACACCGGAATAGCTAGTAGTCCTGATGCTTGGCAATGCTCGTACCCTTGACCCAGAAGTCATTGCTCAGCCTCCTCTCTGTGGAAAGAACAGGCTGAGCACAAACCTCTCTAATTTACAGGCTGTGCCCCTAAGGCACAGAGAGAGCAAAGAAGTTCTTTTAGAGCCCCATGTGTATCTCTGTGTTCAACTATTTATTCCACAAACTTATTTGAGTACTTGGGAGCCACACTGGGGACCAGAGAGAAACACATCTAGGTTTGAATCCTTGTTCCTGTAGTTCCTGGCTCTGTGACTTTGGGCAAGTGAGTTAACCTCTCTGTGCCTGAGTTTTCACATCTGTACAATGGGGATAATTGTCTCAACTCATAGAAATCTTGTGATGATACTGGGGATATGTTTTTAACTGTAATAAATAAGAAATCAAGTTTCTTATGGTTTATACAAGATTCAAATTTATTTTTCTGTTACATGAAAAGTACTCAGCATTTGGGGTGGGTATGGTGAGAGTCAGACTCCTTTCTTGTGGCTGTATTGTCCTCAACATCCTGTTTAGGGTGGCTGCTCTAGTCTCTCACTTTCATTTCTAGCCAACATGAAGGTAAGAAAGAAGTGGAAGTCATATTCCTTCCTTTTAAAGAAGTTACTCAGGTGGTATACTTCTGTTCTTGACCTATTGGTTAGAGTTCAGTCATGTGATATGTGTAGTTGCAAAGAAGTCTGGAAAATATAGTCTTTCACAGACAGCAATGTAGCCAACTAAAATTTGTATTGAGACTGAATATCTAACGACAATTAAACATTTCTGCCACAACATGTCAGATGCTTGCATAGTGCATGGCCTGTGGTAGGCCTTCGATAATGGGTGGTGCTAACTGTAACTAATCATTTAGTGTTTCATTCATTCACCAAACATCCACTGAGGGCCTCCTATGTGACCAGGAGATACCGCAGTTATGGTGAAAAGTAAGACATATTTTCTTCCCTTAGAGGACTAACAGTCTGGTGATGATGGGGAAAGTGTGATATGAGAGGCAAGTCTAGAGGAAGGAACTGTGGCCACTACTTCAGGAAGGCTTCCTGGAGGAGGTGGCCTCTGAGCTGAGCCTTGTAGAATGAGTTGGTCTGAGTGAGGCAGCTTGACAGGGGAAAATGGGATGCAAAGCCACAAAGGAGTGTGATCATGTGGCCTATTTGGACTGATGAATAAATTCATGCAGAATAAAGAATGTGAAGTTCTCAGCTTTGAAGTGAACCCACTTTACTATTTCCTGATTCTAATTTTTCAATACCCTCATGCACATGGCTGGATACTCCCACAGGTGCTGTATGATATTGAAAGCTCTTAGGAAGCACAAAATTAGCACTTGACCCACACACATAGATCACAGAATGCTGTTATTCTGGTCCATCCTCATATCTCCTCCCATTTCTCACTGTAATACCCCTCCTTTATTCTTGCTTTTTTTTGTTATTTCCCTCCCACATACTACTCTGCGGTGTGACTCCTAGATGATGAAGATGTCTTTCTTTGCGGGAAATGTAAGAAGCAGTTCAACTCACTGCCGGCATTTATGACCCACAAGCGGGAGCAATGCCAGGGGAATGCCCCGCCCTTGGCCACAGTCTCTTTGGCCACCAACAGCATCTACACGCCTTCGGCAGCACCCACAGCAGTTCAGCAGGCCCCGCCTCCTGCAAATCGCCAGGTATTCTTTCCTTCTATTTCTTCTTTACAGATTTTATTTATCTTTTTAGAGAGGGGTAAAGGAGGGAGAAAGAGAGAGAGAGAAACATCAATGTGAGAAACATTGATTGGTTGCCTCTTGCACACCCCCACCCGGGGACCTGGCCCACAATCCAGGTGCATGCCTTGACCCAAATTGAATTGGAGACCTTTTGGTTTGAGAAATGATGCCCAATCCACTGAGCCACACCTGTCAGGTCCAGGTATTCTTTCAATTGTTTGTTTATTCATTTATCCATTCAGCAAGTCTTTTTTTGAGCACTCACTATGTGTGAGGCACTAGGGATATAATGATGGACAAACACACCAAGTCACTGCCCTCATGGAGTTGAGTGAAATAGATGGTACCCAAATTTGTAGAGATGCTTTTTTCAGGATGTTAAATGCAGAGTGAGATGGGATGCTAATACAGGGCTGGGAGGTTTTGCCATTTTTGTACATGGTACTTGGGAAAGGCTCTGTGAAGAAGTGGCATTTGAGTAGAGACCTAAGGAGGTGAGGGAATTGGTCTAGCAGCCAGCTCGGGGAACGGGAAGTGTGGTCAGAAAGTGCAAAGGCCCTGAGGCAGGCATGTGCTGGATTTATTCTGGGAACAGCAAGGAGGTGAGAGTAGCTGGAGCTGAATGAGAGAGGAGGAGGGTGGGAGACGATAAGGTCAGAGAGGCAACAAGGAGATCTTGGTAGATCATGTGGGACTTACCAACTTTTACTCTGAGAGATGGGAGCCATTGGGGGTTTTGAGCAGAAGAGGGATAAGGTCTGATTTACACTTTGGCCACTCTCAATACTGTATAGAGAAGAGATTTTGGAGGCAGTCAAGAGAGAAAGCCAGGACACCCATTAGTGGGCTGTTGTGCAAGTCCAGAGGGTGGTGGTGGCAGAGTTCGTGAGAATTATGAGATTTTGGAAATGTTTTGAAGGTGAAGCCATCAGGGATTGTGGATAGATTGGGTGTGGGGTGTGGGGTGTGAGATCAAGAGGCGTTAGGGTGACTCCAGAGTTGGCGTTGCCATTAACCAAAGTAGGGAGATGGCTAGGAGGAGCTTTGGGGGATGTCAGGAGTTCAGCTTGACAGGTTGCATTTGCAATGCCCATTGGACCTATGAGTGGAAGCAGTGAAGATGCAGACACACAAGTCTGGAGGTCAGGGGAGAGGGTCAGGTGGGAGGTATCTGGAGAAGCTTCCAGAGTCCTCAGCCAGCAACACAATTCTGGAGCAAAGACACTCAGGGTGGGGACTCTTAGAGGGATTAAAGAATCCTCATAAAGGGAGCTGGGCAGGCCTCAGGATGCCCAGTCAAGGAGTTGAATTTCCTCTAACTTCATTTATCTCCCTCTTTCTATTTCTTTTTTTTTAAATTTGATTTTAAAGAGAAGAGGGGAGGGAGAGAGAAAGAGAGAGAGAGAGAAAGACATCAATTTGTTGTTCCACTTATTTATGCATTCAGTGGTTGATTGTCATATGTGCCCTGACCAGGGATCAAGCTGTACCTTTAGCATTTCAGGATGACACTGACTAACCGAGGCTACTTGGCTGGGGCTCCTTATTTCTTTAAAACATTATCTTCATCCAATGTGTAGAAATAATTCTTGCCATCAAAATAAAAACCTTCAGGCCCTGGCCAAGTAGCTCAGTTGGTTAGAGCATTGGCCCATATGCCAGGGTTGCAGCTTCCATCCCCTGTCAGGGTACATACAAGAATCAACCAGTTGTTTCCTGGACAAGGAAATGACTTCAGAACACAAGCTGTTGGTTATGGGCAAACACGAACTCCCTGCCTAAGAGGCTTGAACGGACAAGGATACGATTTCCCATTTTTCATTTCAGCCTGACACACATGACATTGTAAAAACATGTAAGCCTGAGTCTACATTGCCTTTCCTGGCCAGAACGTGGGGCATTCTCCTAACTTGCCTGGGCTGTCCTTGCTTGGTTGAAGGGAAGGACATCCTATTTGAACAGGGACTCTGGATTTAGGGACTGGGTCACTCCTGTCCCCAGAGGACCTACAGAGACAGGTGACCTAGGAAGATGCCCAGGGTCTGCCAATAAAGAAAAGCAACAGCTAAAGAAATCACAACAGCCTTTCCGCCTACTAAGAGGAGCAGTCACTGCATGTTTGACACTCTCTTGTAAGGGCTGCCTTTTATCCTCACTATTAACCTGAGAGCATAGTTTATTTTTAATACCCATTTGTATGTTTGCAAATAATACACGTTTACCTTCTCCTTTGTAAAAAAGTGTTACAAATCAAGGCACTGTTGGCACTATTCCTCTCCCCTACCCTCAGGTAACTACTGATGGATATCCTTCTCAAACTTTTAATGTTTTAAAAAGATTTTATTTATTTATTTTTATAGGGGAAGGTTAGGGATAAAGAGAGGGAGAGAAGCATCAGTGTGTGGTTGTCTCTCACGTGGCCCCCACTGGGGACCTGGCCTGCAACCCAGGAATATGCCCTGACTGGGAATCGAACTGGCTACCCTTTGGTTTGCAGTCTGTGCTCAATCCACTGAGCCACACCAGCCAGGGCCTTCTCAATTTTTTAAGGTACTTTCACACATTATTTAAGTCTCCACAGGAATTATATAGTAGTATTGCTTTAGGTTTTGCCTACTATATAGCATTCTATCCATGACTATATTGTATTTTTAAAATTCATTCCCTACTGATGGACATCAAGGCTATAAGAAACAACACCACGCAGAATACTTTTGTTCATGAACTCCCTGTGGACGTGTGTTTCTCTAGGGTAGATGCCAGAAAGTATTATTGCTGGGTCATAGGGCATGTGCCTTAAGAGGAGGTGTGATTGATTCTTCTCATTTGATAGATGGGGAAATGGAGGTTCAGAGCGGTGGAATGACCTGCCCAGGGTCACACAGCAGCAGGGAGCATCAGAGGTAGAAATGGATTTCAGGTCTGTGGGACTTCGGAACCCAGATCATTTGTGTCATGCCCTCTGCTTTTTTCCAGAGCCTCACACATGTTCATTTCCTCTCTCTCTTTCATCTCTCATCCTCTTTCTCTTTCCAGATCTCTACGTACATCACAGTGCCCCCGTCTCCACTGATCCAGACCTTGGTGCAGGGGAACATCTTGGTGAGCGACGACATGCTCATGTCTGCTATGTCGGCTTTCACATCCCTGGACCAGCCCATGCCGCAGGGCCCCCCACCTGTGCAGGTAAGTGGGGGACTGACTTCTCTCAGTATCCTGATTCCAGGCCTGTGTGTTGACTGCTGCAGATTCAGAATGTTGTAGAAAGAAGGGGTCTTGGCCCCAGCTCTCCTCCATGTTGAGGAGGACAGCCAGCCTCCCCTTGCCCAGCCCTGGGTGGGTGGGAAGCTGCCACATTAGCAGAGACCTAGAATGTGACTTTGGAGTTTCATAGCCACAGTCAGCTATTTTACCTCCTGGTTTTATTCTTCTTAACAGAAGTGTTCCATGTCCTTAGAAAAACATTAAAAAATACACGAGAAAAATAAAAAAAGTTTAATTATTCATAATCTGGAAAGTAAAGAGATATTGTAACTGGCTAGAATGTGTAGTTCTTGGTTGGATTCTGTGTTGTGGGTGGGGTCGGGGGGAAGTCATAAAGACGTTATTGCGGGAATTAGAATATGGAGGAATTAGAATATGTTAAATAATAGTATTGTATTAATATTCAATTCCTTAGTCTGATGATTGTGTTGTGGTTTTATAGGAGAATATCCTTGTTCTTTGGAGATGCATCTGAGTTCAGTACTGAGGAACAAAGTATAATGTTGTCTGAAACTACCATAATTCTAAGTGGCTTGATGAAACAATGTGTATGTGTATGTGTGTGTGTGTATTCATGTGCACACACATATTGCAGGTGTGGCAAAATGGTAACAACTGAGTGAATAAGATGAAGCATAAAGACTGTCCTATGTATTTGTCCAACCTTTCTGCAGGTTTAAAAATTTTCAGAATAAAAGTTGGGAAATTAGTCACTCACTCTCCCTCCACTCAAAGAAAATGCTGTCAAAATTGTGGCTTTCCTGACTTCCTTGAATGCAAATAAAAATAGAAATAGCCCTTTTTAGCCCTGACTGGTGTAGCTCAGTGGATTGAGCGCAGGCTGCAAACCAAAGAGTCACCAGTTCGATTCCCAGTCAGGGCACATGTCTGGGTTGTGGGCCAGGTCCCCAGTGGGGGGCACATGAGAGGCAACCACACAATGATATTTCTCTCTTTCTCTTCCCCTCTCTCTAAAAATGAATTAAAAAATCTTTAAAAAAAGAAAAGGAAATAGCTTTAAAAAGAAATAAATACAGGGGTGAGCAAAAGTAGGTTTATAGTTGTTTGGAAAATGACATGCAGGTTATCATTGTTACAATAATAGCATTATTAACTCAAAAGACTGTCATGTGCAACTGTAAACCTACTTTTGGACACCCATGTACATTTATAGTTTGCATATATTTTATATAGTTTGCACAAATATAAACAGGTCTTGTTACATGCACTATTCTGGAACTTGCTTTTCTTACCGTGCCTTTTGTTTAACCTCATTCTCTACGCCTATAACTCTGCATCAGTATTTCCCAAAAAGTTCTTTGGAATGCTGGCTCCTTGGGATTTTCCAATATAATAAGGATCTCTGATCAAAGCAGCTTCTGGAGGAATTCTGCTTCTTCCCTTGCTTTATTCCTGGGCTTTTCCTGCAGTAAAGAAATACTTTTGATTTAAAAAATATATATACGTTTGATTTTAGAGAGAGAGGAAAGGAGAGAGACAAACAGTGATGTGAGAGAGAAACATCACCGATTGGCTGCCTTCCATATGCACCCTGACTGGGAATTGAACCCCCAGCCCTTTGCTGTATGGGATGATGTTCCAACCAACCGAGCCACACTGGTCAGGGCAAGAAATACTTTTGACTTTGTCATCCCAGATTTTTCCCAAACATACTTTACTGTGGCACTCAAAGAACGGTTAAAAGGAGGACTCTTTTCTTTTCTTTTCTTTTCTTTTCTTTTCTTTTCTTTTCTTTTCTTTTCTTTTCTTTTCTTTTCTTCCTTTCCTTTCCTTTCCTTTCCTTTTCCTTTCCTTTCCTTTCCTTTCCTTTCCTTTCCTTTCCTTTCCTTTCCTTTTCCTTTTCCTTTTCCTTTTCCTTTTCCTTTTTCCTTTTCCTTTTCCTTTTTCCTTTTTCCTTTTCCTTTCCTTTCCTTTCCTTTCCTTTCCTTTCCTTTCCTTTCCTTTCCTTTTCCTTTTCCTTTTCCTTTTCCTTTTCCTTTCCTTTCCTTTCCTTTCCTTTCCTTTCCTTTCCTTTCCTTTCCTTTCCTTTCCTTTCCTTTCCTTTCCTTTCTTTATTTCTTTCTTAGGGGAAGGGAGGGAGAAAGACAAGAGAGAAACGTTGATGTGAGAGAAAAATATTGACTGATTGCCTCTTGTATGAACCCCAACTGGGGACTGAACCTGGAACTCAGGCATGTGCTCTGACCAGGAGTTGGACTGGCAACCTCTTGCTTTGCCAGACGATGCCCAACCAACTGAGCCACATGGGTCAGGGCTAAGGAGCGCTCTTTGTGAAATACTGCTCAGCATCATTGTTTTAATAGCGGCAAAGGATTCCATCATGTAGATGGATCATCCTCTGTTTAGTCAGGCTTTTGTGGATGGACACGTGTAGGTTGTTGCCATTTTTTGCTGTTCTAAAAACTACTGGAGAACATCCATATGTAGATATGCTTGCCCACCTGCTTGATTATTTTTGTAGAATAAATTTCTAGAATCAATGGTTATGTTTAGGGATCCATAGCCACCAGCCCATTTGATGACTCTCTATAGAAAGACTCCCAGGATTCAGGATGGTTGTACTCATGGCTATGGCTTATGACAGTGAAAGGATACTCAGCAGTGTTGGAAGAGGAACAAGACATATCAGCTGGAGTCTAGACTCCAGGTATAGGTTTCCAAAGTTCTCCTTTTGGGGAAGTGGGGAGAGGCTGCACAAAACACTTCCTTCTGCAGCAGGGAAGAGCAACAACACGTGTGCAGTGTTTTTGCCCAAGGACGCACACCTAAGACCCCAAGCCTCAGGCTTTTGTTGGGGATTGGTCACAGACACCCAGTCATAATGATCAAAATTCTAGACTTCTGGATGAGAAGAACGTGTTCACCATAAATTACATGGTGTGTGCAGATAGTCTAAGCAAGTTGATACTGTACAGTTTGTGCCCCAAGTGGACAGAAGAGCCTTATCAACATAAGGAACCACCTACAAGGCAGGTTCTCAGATACTAGTCAGGAGTCAGTCCTACAAGCAAGCCTTTCTAAAGACAGCAGTGGTAGGCCTGCTGTATGAACTTGTTCCTGTACAAGCGGCACCATTTCTGCGGACTTTCATAAAGAAAAGGAATAGCAGCACTGAGCTGATGGCTCCTTTGATTTCTCCCCTGTTTCCATGCCCCACCCCTAGCATCCTCCTCTGAGCCGGCTTGTGAGGGGCTGTTCTTTACACATAGTTAAGGCAAATGTCCTTCACTGCTAAACAAGACAGCTCTCATTAAGAGGCTATGATGCTTTAATTTTCTCTTCTGATTTCAGAGCAGCCTGAGCATGCATTCTGCACCCAGCTACCTCGCCCAGCCTCCACCACCCCCTCCACCACCTCCATCACTGCCTCCGCCCCCACCACCCCAACCCCCACCACCCCCGCCTCAGAGCCTGGGTCCCCCTGGGCGTCCCAACCCCAGTGGGACCGGTGTGGTGGAGGTGTACAGTGCCACGGCACCCCTGGCTGGCAGCGGAACAGTGGAGATCCAGGCGTTGGGAATGCCGCCCTACCCACCCCTCGAGGTGAGCAGAGGCTGGGGGTTGTGGCAGAGCGGGAGAAACTGGTCATGGTCCTCACGGCTAACCTGGGCCTTTCCTGAGCACCAACCATGTGCTCAACACTGTGCTGGAGATACCGTGGTGGGGATTTGCAGAACCAGATCCTGGAGTGTCCCCCATTGTGGGAGACAAGGACTTTAGTGCCGCCATCATAGCTATGAAAGTAAAATGCAAACCATGAGAAAGTATTGTGGAGTAGAGGGTATAACATAAACACAGATTGCCCTTAGGGAGTGCTCAGGAGAGTCCGAGAATACCTGTTTTTTGGGGAGAGGATTCCCAAAATTCCTATGTGTCTTACACTTTTTAAAACTAACTAGGTGTATCAGTCAGCTATATCTTTGTAAGGAATATCCACAAAACTTCAGTGAAAAATAGCAAAACTGTTTCTTGTTCTCACATCTGTGGTGGTCAGTGTGGCAGCTCTGCTGATCTTGGCTGGGCTGCCTCGTGTCTGGAGGCTGGCTGGCTGGCTGGCTGGCTGCCAACTGCTCTAGTGTGGCCTGGGGTGGGGTGAGTCGGTAACCCAGCTCTGCTCACCACGGTGGCAGAGATGCAGTGGTGCAAGCAGAAATGCTCAAGGCTTCTTGAGGCTTAGGCTTATAAGTGACACAGTCACTCCTGTTGGTAAAAGCACATCCAAGGCCAGCTTAGATTTGAGAAATAAGATAATAGATGTCATCTCTTTATGGGGTAAATCTGCACAATCATGCTGCAAAGGGCGTGGGTACAGGAAGAGGTAAAGGATTGAGGCCATTATACAATCAGCGTTTCATACACACCTTGCTAACTGTCTGCTGAAGAGCTCTCAGTGATAAGCAGTCTACTCTCAAGGAGATAAGAGTTCAGAGTCTGCCCCCAGCACTTCCTAGCAGTGCTAGGGGCATAGTTATAACAGAAAGAGCCTGCCTGCACTTGAGGTCACATTATTCCCGACTCACCCTCGAATCAGCCATATAGACATTCCACATCAGGTAGCGTCTATATGTAAGGAGAACCAGACCAGTGGGGAAATTCCACTACCAGCCATGTGTGGTTCTGGGAGTCTGCCAGAGAATTTGCCCTAGTCTGGGAGAATAAAGCAACCTCCTCTGAGGACTTTGTTGAACTAAAAAAAGAAAAGTTAAGTCAGTGAGATGCTGAGAGGATGATGGACTGGTAGGCAGGTGGGCCAGCACCAGGGGAGCTGCCACTTTTTATTTTCCATGTAGATGAGGGTGCCTTTTGAGGTCAGAGCCCGAGTTGTCTTTGATTTTGCACCTTTAGCACTTAGCAGTGTACCTGGGCTTTAATAAATATCAGAAACAGGGCCCTCTGAGTTTGGTTTCCTCTCTAAAATGGGAACTTCTCTTGCAGAGCCATTGAGGATAATGAGAGCTACCCCAGTGACAGTCTCATAACTGCTCCTGAATGATGGGTGAATTCATTGAGTGTGGTATTGGTCAGGAAAATAGAAACCTGTCTAGGTATTTCTGGCAGAGGGATTGAATATAAGAAGTTGGGTGCTTACAAAGCTGACAGGAGAGCTAGAGGAACAGAAGTCTGGGTTGGCGGGCATCACTGGTTTTCAGAGTCACTGTTGTTGCTTGGCCCAGAGAGCCAGGGCGCCGCTGCTGTGCCCAGATGTGAGGAAATAGTAGGATTCTTTTGCTGATGTTTCAGCTGTCCAGCCATCCTTGGGGCTGGTTGTTAGGAAGGAGATACAGAGTTCAGCCAGCCACTTGCAAACTCATGACTAAAGCTGCCCCTCTCCCACTACAGCTCCTGGAGAGTGGTTGCTACCTCCTTTCTACCTTCTGCATCTCATGGTTTTTGTGGGCAGAACCTCATCTGTGTTCAGAGCTGTACTGCAAGACAGTCTGGAAATGTGGTTCCAAGCTTCCCACCCCTGTATTTCAGGGGAGAGCCTGAAGGGTGTGGGAATGGTGCCAAGAGCCAACAAGCAAGATCTGGCAGAAGCATCTGATGCCACATCAGGTGCCCCATACATGTGTAAATGAATTCATTCATTCAAAAAATATTTATTGAGTACATACTCTGTGTCCAGCATTGCTGTAGGCCTGGGCACAGAGCAATAAACAAAAGCAAAACAAAAGTCCCTGTCTTCATGGAAGTAGGCAGATAATAGACAAGATTAGTAAGTAAAATACACAACATTACATATGATAAGTCTAAGGAGAAAGATACAGTAGAGAAGGATAGGACGTTTAATTTTGGATAGACCAGCTCAGGAAAACAATGAGTGATAAATAGGTGAATGAATAGGTGAATTCTTCACAATGCTTCAGTGTCATGATGTTAGCTTAATGTTAACCAAATCTGAGTGGCTCGGAATTCATTGTCAATTCTCAGTTGAGGGATGCCCGCTGGTATAGTGTCTGGCAGTGTCAGTTAAGAAGTGGAGTAGCTGGTGGGGCACAGACCCTTCTGATTTCCTGGTTCTTTTGTGCAGGCAAGCTGCAATAACAATGATAATGGCTAATATTTATTGAGTACTTACTATATGCTAGGCACTGTTCTAACCTCTTTAGTTCATTAAATCTATGCAACAACTCCATAAGAGGGGTACTATGATTAGCATCATTTTACAGATGTGGGAACTGAGAGAAATTTAAAGACTTACTCAAGATCTCTTAGTTGTTGTTGTTTTTTAATTAATGGCCGAGTCAGAATTTGAACCCAGGCAACCTGGCTCCAAAGCTGCTTCTAGCCTCTGACTTCATGAAGTTCAAAGGGCTCTTGGGAGTTACAGGGGTGACTGAGCTAGATGAAGGAATTAGGATGGCGCTCTAGGCGGGGGAGTGGCTGAGATCTGCCAGGGCCCCTGCGAGGGGCCTCCTGGCTGGGGTGGTTTTTCCTCTCCCTTCCCAGAGCCCTTTGCCTGACTCTGCTGTTCTTCTAGGTGCCAAACCAGTGTGTGGAGGCTCCAGTGTACTCCACCCCCACAGTGTACAGCCCCGGCAAACAGGGATTCAAACCAAAAGGACCCGACCCCACTGCGCCCATGACCAGTGCCACTGGGGGCACGGTGGCCACCTTTGACTCCCCACCAGTGCTGAAGACCCGACGGGCTAAAGGTGCCAGTGGACTCCCAGAAGGTGGGCCCACAGCCTGAGCATCTTTCCTCAGCATCGGCCTATCCACAGGCTGCTTGGTTGTAGTCTTCCCTTTTATGATGGTTAGGATTAAGTTTGGTTGCATGTAATGAAAAATCCAAAATAAGAGTAACTTCAAAATGATAGAATTTTGTTTTTCTCCTGTGCAAAGAAAGCAAGGCCAGAAGTAGGCAACCAGGAAATCACATGCCTATATGGTCACCAGAAACCCACTTTTTTTTTCTGCTCTACTGTCCCTGGTGCCTGGCTTCTGTTTTCAGGGTGCCTCATTGTGTAAGATGGCTGCTGGAGCTCCAGCTATTAATTTCATATTCCAGGCAGTAAAAATAAAGGGGGCATCTTCCAGCTTCTAGCAGTTCTGCATGATGCTTTTTACTTCATCTCATTGGCCAAAACTTAGTCACATGAGCATATCTAGCAGCAAAGAAAGCAGGAAATGTCTCTCTCTCTCTAAAGGTTTTACTTCTTTTTAGAGAGAGGGAAAGGGAGGGAGACACAGAGGGAAAGAAACACCTATTCGAGAGAGAAACATCAATCTGCTCCCTTCTTGTCTGCATGCCCCGTAGGCATGTGCCCTGACCAAGAATTGAACCTGCAACCTTTTGCTTTGCCAGACTATGGACAACCCACTGAGCCACACTGGTTAGGGCAGGAAATGTCTCCTTTAGCCAGGAACATTGATGTTTTTCTTAGGTGGAGCACTTGAGAGAAAAGAAGAAGGGGAGAATGGATGTTAGGTAGGCACGCAGCAATTGTCTGCCACCTCTTTGGAGATGCTAAGTATGGGGTTGGGGGGCAGGGTCAGAAAGTGTTGGGGGTTGAGGAGGGCAGAGAACCTGAGACTTTTTCAGGGCCTTCCAGTCAACTACTTCCATGCTGGTTTTCTTTCACAAATATGTGTTGAGTTTCATTTCAGGCATTAGGAGTCTAGCATCTTGGTCCAGGATTTCCCCATCCTCAGTTGTCACAGTTTAATGGGAAAGACAGACAGGGAATAAATAAATATTTATGGGTTAGTCTAGGAAGGAGATTAATGGGGTATTATGATTGATGGGGTAATATTGGGGAGAGGCTAGAAAATGATGCTACTAATCCACCTAGGGATGAAAGGGAAACAGCCTTTGGGCTATCTGAGGGACAGCCATACACACAAGGGGGAATAGCAGGTTCAGAGGTCCTGACGTGGGAACATGTTTGAAGTCTTTTAAGGTTAGCAGGGAGTCTGCTGTAGCTAGATGGTGAGAATAATGAGGTTGGCAGGAAACAGAGAATGCAGAGCCCTGTGGTCCACAACAGAGAGATTGGATTTTATCCTGGGGCAGAGAGAAGCCTTTGAGGGATTTGTCCTGCTCTCCCAGCCCAGAGCATGTCTTGGACTTTCCTGTCCCCAGCACTTTGAGAGGCTCACCTATGACTCTTTCCTTGCCTGTCCGTGAATGTAGACCTCCCAGGGTCTGGGATTTCTGACCCCGGGTCCAGGGAGTAGAGCTGCTAGAGGCTGCCCTTGGCATCCATAGTTTTACCCCCAGCCTCACCATCTTTTTCCTCCTACTTGGTCTTTCAGCTGCAGAGAAGCCAAAGGCACAGAAACTCAAGTGCTCATACTGTGACAAGTCATTCACCAAAAACTTTGACCTGCAGCAGCACATCCGAAGGTACCCAGGCATGGCGGGGGCAGGTGGCTCCTAGCAGCCCTGGCTGGGGAGCCATGTGCAGTAGAAGGAAGGCTCCTTTCTCAGTACCCCAACCTGGGTAGTGACCAAGGCCTCATCTGTCCTGTCATGGCTCTCAGAACTTTAGTCCAGGTCAGGATGGTTTTCCCCCTTCTCTTCCAGGAACAGTGGGAGGGGTCTGTGAAAGCTGTGGGGCCTGCCCACTATGATGGGGAAGACCTGAAGGGGGTGAGGTAGGGGGAGAAGTGTACTTGAACTCATAGGGGCTTTACAGGCATGAAGGATGCCTCAGTCCACACCTCTGCAGAAAGGGCTGGCCTCGAGGGCTGCTGGGCTCTGATTATGACTCTGTCTGCTCACTCAGCACTGACCACAATACCTCTTGTCCAAGAACAGACAGGGAACCTCTCTGGTCCTCAGGTTTTTCTTCTCTGCAGGGGTGGACTTGTTTAGTGTTTCTCAGAGTGTGGTAATTAGTACACGAGATGACTATAGGTGGTTTGTAAAAATTCTGAAAGACATAGTGGGAAAATTATTGTCTTTTCAGTTTATTTTAGTCCTTGGAGAATCAAAGGAGAAAGCTTCAATTTGGTGCTAGTCTCTCCTAAAATATATTAAGTTTTAAAACAATTGATTTGAAGAAATATATTAAATAATGATATGAGTGCTGTGCTGTAACAGCTAGGATATTTTTTTTAACAGAGATTAAAGGCTTTATTCTTTTTTAATTTTTTAAAATATATTTTATTGATTATGCCATTAGAGTTGTCCTATTTCCCCTTTTTTTTCTTCTAATAACAAATCCCTATTTAAATGGGCTTAAGTAATTAGGAAATGTTTCATCTCACAGTATGAGTAGGCCGTGAAGAAAGTCAGCCCCTGGGCTGGTTGATTCAGCAGCTCAGTAATGTCACCAAGAGCACAGGGTTTTTCTGTCTCTGGTCAGCCTGCTTCAGCAAGAGGGCTTGTCCTCATGCTGTCAGAATGGTGGACAGCAGTATCTGGTGGCCAGCAACACCTAGGTGTTTTGTCTGGGCCCTCCGGGTGCTGCAAGCTCCTGGGCTGAGGCCACGTGTCCGTTCCTACACAGCGGTGCTGACAAGCCTTGTTTCCTGCAGCCACACTGGTGAGAAGCCCTTCCAGTGCATTGCCTGTGGCCGTGCCTTTGCCCAGAAGTCCAACGTCAAGAAACACATGCAGACTCACAAGGTGTGGCCTCCAGGGCGCAGTGGTGGTACCGTCTCTCGCAACTCCGTGACTGTACAGGTCATGGCCCTGAACCCCAGCCAGCAGGAGGATGAGGAAAGCACAGGTGGGCTGAAGGAGGGAACACCACTCTTGCTACACTGCTCTTCTGCAGCTTCAAAGGTTTAGTTGCTGTATGACCTGGAGCAACTTCCTTGACCTCTGGGCTTCAGTCTACTTCATTTATAAAAAGGGGCATGAGATGAAAGGAGGCATGACAAATATGCAATATATGTGGTGTTACTATAATGCTGAACCTATGACAGACATCACTAATCAATCACCTGTCCTTTTTGCTGAGCTTGGATACTGTCTCACAATCTCTTTTTAGTATATTGCTCTAGGCAGTCACTCTCAGTTGATCAGAAGTTGGAGTCTCTTTGGCCTCTATGGGCAGGTGATCACCAAAGCTTTTCATAGTTTGTGAAATTGTCATCAAAGCCATCACTTGTTTCTGAGCATTTTCCCTAATATTAGTTTAATATTAATATTTACTATTTAATATTAGTTTTAAATACCTTTTTTCTAGTATTAGTTTAATTAGAGCGACCCTGTCCAATAAAAATATATGAACGACATATGCCATTTAAATTTTTCTAAAGCAGAAAAAAGGATGAAATTAATGTTAATCATATATTTTATTTAATAAGCATGTGTAATATAAAGAAATTATTACTGAGATCTTTTATATTCTTTTGTTACGCTAAGTTTCCAAAATCCAGGATGTATTTACATTTATAGCACATTTAGTCTGGGTTTGGACCAGCCACTTCTGAGTTCTCAGTTGCCACATGTGGCTTTTGGCCACTGTGTTGACAGTGTAAGGCTGGGGCTTCCCTGTGCAGCCCCGTGGGTGAGCTGCGCCTGCCACTCACCAGCTGACGAAGGCAGTGTTTTGCTGCACAAACAACACATGGCCACTTTTATATGACCTCCCTGTTGCAACTAGCCCTACTATGTATTTATCCTGAACTCTTAGGAGTTCTTTGGGGAAGAAACCATTAAAAAATTTTTTTTAAACTCCTGCAGTGCCTACCTCCAAGGGTTCAACCATTTAGCAAACATTTATGGAGGCCTACTGCATGCCAGGCCTCTGTCCTCAGGGAATGTGAGGGAAAGACAGCTAAACAAATGAGTATAATTAGAACAAGGAGCTGAGGAGGCATGATGAATACAGCTAGGAGTGGTGGTCAGGATTTTAAACAAACATGGGGAGGCCTAGAGTGTCCAAGGCATAGGCCAGGGAGGGGAGACTTGAGGCAATAGCTAGCTATTCATCAATCAGACTATAAGTATTTCAGTACTGTAGCACCTGGGAGGGTGGCATCAGTGCACACCAGATGACCGTGAGTGCAGTGCCTTGAGTGGGGTGGTGTACACAGGGAACACGCAGGAAGTGTTCTGTGCGTCCTTCCCGAATGGTGTGGCTCTCTACTGACCTCTTCCTCTGCTCTTCTCAGTAACTTCTCTCCCTGACTTTATCTGCAGGGATGGGCCAGACGCTGTCAAGTGCCCCACAGCCCCAGGCTTTGCCCACAGCAGGAGAGGAAGAGGGGGACAAGCTGGAGGCCAAGCAGGTGGTCCTCATTGATAGCTCCTACCTGTGCCAGTTCTGCCCCAGCAAGTTCAGCACTTACTTCCAGCTCAAGTCCCACATGACCCAGCATAAAAATGAACAGGTAGGTGGCTAGTGGGCAGTCAGTGTGGGGCCCTTCCATCCTAGCCCTGAATCTTGACTGGTGCTGGGATCTTAAACGTGGCTGAGAAAGGGACAAGAGCACACTTCATTTGGTCTGAGCTCCTGTCTGATTATTCATGATAGGCCAAGCTTCCCCCTCTACTCTGCCTGGGTGGGACCAGCTTACTGGGCCATTATGGTACTCAGGGAGGGAGCCCACCTTTCAAGGGTCATATAAAGAAGGAATCAGAGACAGGAAAAATTCTTTCATTGATTGATTGATTGATTGATTAACTGACTAATTTGAGAGAGAAACATTAATTTGTTGTTCCACTTATTTATATGCATTCATTAATTGCTTCTTGTATATACCCTGATTGAACTTGCATCCTTGGTGTATCAGGACAACATTCTAACCAACTGAGCTACCTGGCCAGGGCAAGAAGAATTCTTAATACCCTGAGAAGATCTAACATCTGAAAACCTACCTATGGTGATTTAGGATTACAATCTTTTTCCTTTTCTTTTTTTTAATAAAGATTTTATTTATTTATTTTTAGAGAGAGGGGAAGGGAGGGAGAAAGAAAGGGAGAAAAACATTAGTGTGTGGTTGCCTCTCACACACCCCCTACTGGGTACCTGGCCCACAACCCAGTCATGTGCCCTGACTGGGAATCGAGCCAGTGACCCTTTGGTTTGCAGGCCAGTGCTCAATCCATTGAGCCACACCAGCCAGGGCCTTTTTCTTAAATTGAGATATAATTCACATACCATAAAATTCACCCTTTTAAAAGAATATACTTTAGTGCTATTAATATATGCATAAGGTTGTACAGCTATCAGCACTGTCTAATTCCAGAACATTCTCATCACCCTAAAATGAAACCCTGTACCCGTTAGCAGTCACCCTCTGCCCCCAGTCCCTGGTAACCACTCATCTATTTTCCGTCTCTGTGGATTCACCTGTACTGGACATTTAATATAAATCGAATCATATATGGCCTTTTGAGATAATTTTTTAAAAGGTTTTATTTATTTATAGAGAGAGGTGAAGGGAAGGAGAAAGAGAGGGAGAGAAACATCTTTGGTTGCCTCTCATACATGCCCCAACCCAGTGGGAACCAAACCCACAACCCAGGCATATATCCTGGCTGGGAATTGAACCAGTCACCCTTAGCTTTGTAGGACAGTGCCCAACCTACTGAGCCACACTGGTCAGGGCTTGAGATAATGTTTTTAAGTTTCAGCTATGTTGTAACATGCACAAATATTTTATTACTCTTTATGGCAGAATAATATTCCGTGGTATGGATATAGCACATTTTGTTTATCCTTTCATCAGGTAATGGACATTTGTATTATTTTTATTTTTTGGCTTTTGTGAATAATGCTGTTATGGACATTCGTATACAAGTAATTGTATGAGCATATATTTTCAATTCTCTTGGGTATAAACCTAGAAGCGAAATTGCTGGGTTATATGTTAATTCTATTCCTGTGTTTATTTTTTAAAATAACTTTCATTTCTCCTTATAAAGGTATCATGTGCCCAATATAGAATTAGAAAATTTAGAAAAATCCAAATAGTGTATAGGTTAATGTTTACTATTTATTATATATTGGGCACCCTGCTAAATGCTTTACATTCAATATTTTATTTACACCTCATAGCAACCTTAGAAGTAAGCATTTTCAGTGCATCCAGAGACCCTCACTGCTCTGTAATCACTGAGAATTACACTGCCCTATAAGTGACTGAGTCAGGGTTCAAAGCCAGGTTCATTTGACCTCAAACCCCACAACATTAACCACCTTGCAATGCATTCTCCTAAGAATGTAATACAGAATCCAGTGTATTTTGCAAAGTGTCTGTAATTTTTAAAACTTATAATTAGGATCTATATACACATATAATTGTGAATTGTGGTGTTTTTTTCTAAGAGTTTATCTATTTATTTTTAGAGAGGGAGAAAGAAAGAGAAAGAGAAGGAGAGAAACATCAATGTGTGGTTGCCTCTTGTGCACCCCCTACTGGGGACCTGGCCCACAACCCAGGCATGTGCCCTAGACTGGGAATCGAACCGGTGACCCTTCAGTTTGCAAGCTGGCAGTCAATCCACTGAGCCACACCAGCCAGGGCAAATTTGGGGTGGGGGGGTTTAAGATAACTTTCTTTCCAATTTTTTATTTTTAAACAAATGTATATTCACACAAAGTTGCAATGATAGTATAGAGAGGTCCCTACACCCTTCAGTGGTTATTTTCCCTCAGTGGTTACTCTCACATAACTACAGCCCAATATCAAAACTAGGAAACTGACATCAGGATAAAGTGCCTCTGTAGTTCTGTGTCATTTTACCAGCTCTGTAGGTTCAAGTAGCCACCACTGCAGTCACAGCACAGAACTATTTTGTCACCATGGAGATCTCCCTTGTGCTGCTCCTTACTAGACACACATCCTTCTCCTCCAAAACTCGTCAGTTATCTGTCTTCATAAGTTTGTCATTTTGAGAATGTTGTATAAATAGATTCATCCAGTATGTGGCCTTTTGAGATTGGCCTTTTTGACTCAGCATAAATTCTCTTGAGATTTGTGCTTTCAATTTTTTAACCTAATTTTACAGTTTTCTTTAAAAAAATTTTTTTTTTAGATTTTATTTATTTATCTTTAGGGAGGAAGGGAAGGAGAGAAATACCAATGTATGGTTGCCTCTCGTGAGTCCCCTGCTGGGAAATGGCCTGCAACCCAGGCATGTGCCCTGACTGGGAATCGAACCACGATCGTATGGTTCACAGGCCCGTGCTCAATCCACTGAGCTACACCAGCCAGGGCTTTTTAACCTAATTTTATATTCTGAGTATTTCCTCACATCATTATGTTTTTTTAAGGACAATTCTAATGACTTTTATGCACAGAAACTCAACAGTATATACTTAGCCAGTTTGGTGGCCAGTTCTTTAGCCTTTGCCATTTCCAGCCTGGCAATGTGATCCACTGACTTGGACCCAGGACATTGCCTTCCCAGCGGCAATGGGTCTCGTCATATCTGTCATCATGATTGGTCCAGATTGCTTCCACCAGATCGCTAAAGGAGCTTAGCCAGAGCTCCTTTGTCTTCCAAGTTAAGCCATGTGAAGGTGACTGTGTTGCAGGTCTTCCTGTGGACTGGCTGCCCCTTCCCCTTGATAATGCAGTAGGGAACTCCCATCTTATGGCACAGGGCAGGCAGGATGATGACCAGCTCAATGGATTCCACATCATGTGCAGTCACTACCAGCTGAGCCTTGTTGTTCTCCACCCAGGTGGTGACAGTGTTAACCCCTGCGCAAAGGATAGGAGGCCTCTTGTGGGGAGACATCCCTTTGTCTGTCGGCAGCTTTTTTCTCAGCCTGGGCCACCATTCTGTGCTTTGTCTCTGGTCTGTGCTTGTGGGAACTTCAGCAGCTGAGCAGCTGTTTGGTGATCCAAGGCCCACGTAAATGGCAGGAGGCACTTTTGAAAATGTGTAGAGAATAGCCCTTTGCCGTAGCAGCTGAATGTAGTCAGGCCATTTGAAAAAGTGGGTGAGGTCCCTTTTGAGCTGGATGTCCTCTGCAATGCCAAAATTCTTAGGCCTTTTCTTAAACAGGGGATTTACCACCTTCTTGGTCTCCTGCTTCACAACAGCAGGGCTGGTGCCACCTTCTTCCCCTTAGCCTTCTTTTCTTTCAACATCTTGGGTGGCAGGAGGAAAGACAAAGAAAAGGGAATTGTGGGAAATGTGGATCTTAAATCCCTGTTTTTAAAAACACAAGTTTAATGGTTACATAAAATCTCCTATTGTTGAACACCTAGATTAGTTCCTGAGTTTTCCTGTTATAAACAAAACCGCGGCGAGATCATTGTAATTAAATCTTTGTTCACATATCTGATTTTTTTGTTATGATAGATTCCTGGGGGCGGAGGGCTGATGGAAATTATTAGGATATCTTTGGGGCACACTGTGGAAAACTTTGACCCAAACTGGCTAAGACAATTAGGAAGTTTGTCATCTCACATAACAAGGAAACTCATGATAAGGCAGTTCCAGGCCTGAAATAGTCAGTTGACAACCCAGTATAAAGGACCCTGTGTCTTTTCAGCTCATTGCCAACCTCTCTGCCATGTGGCCCTGTTCTCTATCGATGGCTCACCTGTGGTCCTGGAATGGTGGTCACTCTTTTTCGGTCCAGACACAGTCTTATCCATGAGCAAAAGGGGCTGTCTTTTCTGTGTCTTTTTTTAGGAGCAAGGAAACCTTTCCTTGAAGGTTTCTTATTGGTCAGAGCCAGTGCATGTGCTGTGTCATTTAAAAATGTATTATTCTCTTGCAAATAATAGAAAACTGGCTTACTAGTTAGGGTTTTATTTCTCTCACATCACAAGTCCATAAGTAGGCAGTGTCAGGCTTATGTAGCAAGTCAGATATGTTATCATGGACTCAGGCCTCTCTGGCTTTCTGTTATCGTTAGCATGTGGCTTTCATTCTCAAGATTGCAGGATGGTTACCAGCCATCACATCTGTATTCCAATCAGGACAAGTGCAAAAGGCAGAAGGGATTTCTCCTAGGGAGCTCTTTGCCTTTTTGTTCTGGGAATGATGTCTCCCCTCAGAACTACCACCTACATATCACTGGTAAGAAAGCAGTCACGTGGCTGACACTACGCGCAAGGGAGCCAGGGAAGTGAGATCAAATGTTTTAACTGGGCATGTTGCCAGCCTGAGCAAATCGTGGTTCACTTCATTAGGAAGGAGTATGTGGAATTGTGTAGGCAACCAGGAGTTTGTACCACTTGTCAAAGTATAACTTTCAAAATGTTAAAACATAATTCGCATGTAAATAACATAGTGAACATGAGTCAGAATTTTACATGACTCATAATGAGGGAACTGGAAGTATGACAAAGTCAGTTCAAAAGAAGTTATGAGACACCGATATTCATACCTATATATAATTGTCAGGGGAAAAAGGAATACTGAAATAAGCTTGTTAAATTAGATACGAATCTGATTGATTTCCTACAGGGCAACAAAACCCATGACCTCTGGGGTTATCTTTTCTACCTGACAAAAGTCATTTACATCAGATCAGTTTTGTACAAGTTAATATTTAATATTATAGTCTGGATTCTATCAGTGGGAAATAGTCAAAACAATGCGTATATCCCCAGAGAGTGGGATTACCTAGGCAGGCTCGTTAGCAGTTCTCAGACTGAGGTCCCTGGACCAGCATCACCTGGGTATTTGTTAGGATGCACATGTTCAGGCTGCCAGGCCTGTTGAATCAGATACTCTGGGGGTGGTGCCCAGCAATCTGTTACTATCACGTGTGCTCACATTGGAGAGCCACTTCTCTGGTATGACATTGGAAGGACATGATGTCATCTTTTTACTGTATTTTCAGGTTCAGGGTAACTTTTCTAAATATACCTAGGCCACACAGAGCCTGGGGAAAGGGTAGTGGGGTTGCTGGAACTGGCTGGGAGGAGAGGACCCTCCAGTTAAAATAAAACAGGGCTGTAGCAGCAGGGGAGCAGGGGAACAGAGGTAGGGAACAGGGATTCAGCAGCATTGTTCCAGGCAGATGCCACAGGGCAGGGGGCGGCAGTGGAGACAGTTCTCCTGCCTCCCCTCACCTGTCCCATGTCTGCCGTCAAGGTGTACAAGTGTGTGGTCAAAAGCTGCGCCCAGACGTTCCCAAAGCTCGACACGTTTCTGGAGCACATCAAGAGCCACCAGGAGGAGTTGAGCTACCGCTGCCATCTCTGCGGCAAGGACTTCCCCTCGCTGTACGACCTGGGCGTGCACCAGTACTCCCACAGCCTCCTGCCACAGCACAGCCCCAAGAAGGACAGCACGGTCTACAAGTACGTGTCCTCCCACTTCCTCTCCCACAGGGAGCCCAGCGGCCTGCAGCCTTGGGGTTGGGCCTGACAGAGTGGGTTCTGGGCCTTGGCACTGGTGGGAGCAAAGATGCTGCCCTCCATGTAGCATTCTTCAACGTGGCAGACATTTACCCTAAAAAAAATTTTAAAAAGGGAAACCAGTCTTTCCTTGTAATAGTAGAAAAGAGATTTGATTTTTTTCTATTAATATACTAAAAATATGAAAATATTATTTTGTCTGATAAGCTATAAAATTTAGTTACAGTTAGAATGGTACACAGATTCTTAGAATAAAAAAGAATTAACAAGCATATTGAAAGCAAAAATCATAAAAATAAAAATAAGATTTTTTAAAATAATGTGTAAAGTTTAGGTTAAAGTTCAAGCTGTATGCTAATTCTTGAAATGAACAAAGAATGCATCAAGTGTAGATTTGATTTGGGTCACTTGTTCTGACAGTCCCTTATGTATCCTTGGTTTCCCGTTACAGTCATAAGGAGGACCCCTTTGGCAGGTATGATAGAGGGTTCCCTCAGTGTTGCCACATGCCCTTAACCCTGAGATCCTCAAATCATTCTCTTCGGAGCGATCCCATGTGATCCCATTCTTGTGATCCGCCTTTTGAGTTTCTCTTCCTCTGGTGTTTTCCAGCCTCTCCTCCAGCCTCTCCTTTGCTGACAGTGTTATTTGTAGATACCCAACATCACTTGTGTAACTTTGTGAAATCCTGCATTTTCACTCTGCAGTTGTTTTGCTGTGCATTTGCCTCGTGTTGCTGCTTCATGAAGCCCAGCACATAGTGTGTAGGGGTCGATCTTAGTGAAAAGCAAGAATTTGTTTGAGGACTCCTTCCAGTCATTAGTGACTGTTTTCATGTTAAATGGCTTTTGCTTCTTTTACAAACTTGTACCTGCAGGTACTTGGCTGATGACCTCTGTTAAGGGGCACCACTGCAATTAGTGAACTTCTGAGGTTCAGAGACAAGTAGAGACCTTGAGTTTAGAATGTGTGGGCTGCTTAGGGAGACAAATGTACAACTATTTTTATCATATACTGTGATAAAATACTATTATAGATATCATATACATGCATGTCTCTAATATATGCGTATATATGGTATAGAATCACCACAGTGGGAGGTATCTGAACTGGGTTTTTTTGTTTGCTTGTTTTTTAATATTTTATTTATTTATTTTTAGAGAAAGGGCAAGGGAAGGAGAAAGAGTGAGAGAGAAACATCAATGTGTGGTCGCCTCTCATGTGTCCCCTACTGGGGACCTGGCCTGCAACCTAGGCTTGTGCCCTGACTGGGAATTGAACCAGCAACCCTTTGCTTCACAGGCCTGTGCTCAATCCACAGAGCTACACCAGCCAGGGCTATTTTTTATTTTTTATTTTTTATTTTTCCTGTGTCTGTCACACACATGCCCACTTTCTGCTTTGTTAAGAAAGAGGTGTTAACTGTGTGACAGTTCCTTTCCCACAGAGGAACGCCACAACTGCCACTGTCAGAACAGCTGCAGACCAGTAGCTGTGGAATGAACTGGGTTTTGAAGGATGGGTAGGAGTACACCAGGTTGGCAGTGGGTGGGGTGGAGTGCATTCCCAACAGGAAGACCAACAGCTATAGAGGTATTAAATAATAAAATAGCAGTGGTTTAGAATGACTGTTGGCATACAGTGGAAGTGGGAAATTATATTTAGATGAGGGCTATGGGAGAAAGTGGGGCCAAGGCATGAGGGTCTTGCAGAAATCACAAGAGCTTTGAGAAGTTGGCAGGAGGACTGGGGCTCATGAAATGGGGTAAAGGGCAACTGGTCCTGGGAGAGATTGGGAAATGGGGCCAGAGAGACATGAAAGCCAGGCGAGGCTTTTACTAGCCAAGGGGATAGAGATTTGTACTCAGAGGATATTTGCTTTTGCTCTTCCAACCTGTGGATTGATTATCTGTAAGTTCCTTTGGCTGTGTGGCCCTCTGGACTAAGACACCAAGTAAAAGGAAGGGAGTGCCTACTATGTGCCAAGCTGCAACTTAGGGACATTAATTTCTGCAGTCCTGCTTAGGGAGGTAGGTTGTATCAGTCAGCTCAGGCTGCTATAACAAAATACCATAGACACATGAGAGAGACAGGGGTCGGAGTGCCCTATCTCTCTGGTCTTTTCTTATAAGAATGCTAACATCATCATGAGGATCCTATACTCATGATGTCATCTAATCCTGATCACCTCCCAAAGGCCCCATATCCAAATACCATTATGTTGAGGATCAAGGCTTCAGGGCTTCAAGGATTCAGGGCTTCAGGGCTTCAATATAGGAATTTTGGAGGGACACAGTTCACTCCATAATAGTGTTCCCTGCATTTTAAAGATGAGGACACTGAGACTCAGATGGGAGAATTGACCTGTCCACAACATCAGCCCTGATTCAGACTCTTGTCCAGGACGTTGGGAAGTTTCAGAGCTCTGGTCTTGGAGTTTGCAGGCTAAGGGTTGAGCCCAATGCTGATGGCCCTGTGCCTGCAGTCAGTCACTTCTCTTGCTGTTAGAGCTGCTGGCTCAAAAGTAAGGTGCAGGAGGCAGGCCACTATCCGGGTGGCCTAAGAGTGAAGTGGTGTCATGATAATGATAAGGGCTCTGAGCCACCTGCCTGTGCTCAAATCTCAGCTTGACTGCAAACCTAATAGATGACCTTGGCAAGGCATTCAGCCACTCTGAGCCCCGGTCTTCTATTCTGTGAAATGAGGGTATGATGGTGCCTGCTCGATTGGATTATTTATTAGGATCAACTAAGATGAGTATGAGACACTTAGACATGGAACCTGGAACATAATAGGAACTCGGTAATTTTTAAAATTTAGATACGGGTGTGGTGGCTTTGTCCCATTTTCAGGGGCCCAGGCCCCATTGGTCTGGCTGCTCTGCTTTGGGCTATGTTGCCTTGGCTGCCTGCAGTGCCTTCCCAAACCCCACAAGTAAAATTCATGCTTGCCACCAGTATATTGCTGTATATTTACTTTCTCTTTTAAAAGTAAGATTTATTGTTTTTTTTTCTAATTCTGAAATTCATGTTCAATGCAGAGAAAAGGATTTTTTAAAAACCATACAAAAGCAAAAAACAAAACTCTGTCACCCAAAATGATGTCCATTAACCTTGTGGTGCATATCTGTAATAAGCATGTTTATAGATGTGGATATAGATATCACAGGTGACAGTTGAATCAGAGCATCCCAAACACGGTCATCGAATTTGGTGAAAATTCATCACACCACCTTCCTATTACACATCTGACCAACAGACTGAAACTTAATAGGCTCACTCTGCACACTTGATGTTGTCACTTAAAACTTTTACACATAAAACTATAATACGGATGTCTTTGCATATCAGCACAAAGAGACCTGCCTCATCCCTTTAAACAGCTACTTAGTATTCCATTATATGAGGATGTGATGTAATTTACTGAACCTGTGCCCTCTTTACCGCGGGCTGGTTGGGTTATTGCCAGTTTGTCATTATCACAAACAACACCACAGGGAACAACTCTGGACGTCTTCATGCGTTTGTGAGCAAGTTCCTGATAGCAATTTTACAGGTCAAAGAACAAAGGCAGGATTAAAAAAGATTAATTATCAGCAAAATTAATTATCTATAAAAAATAATTGTTATGTGCATATAGGGCAATATTTAAAAACTACAAAAAGGCATGGAGTGAAAAGGAATTCCCTGTCTGCCCCGACCCACTTCCCCATTCCACACACAATTGCTTCAGGAATTCTTTTCAACTTACTTTGACATAATTTCAGACTTCCAGAGAAGATATCAGAGTAGTACAAAGAATTCCCACAGATACTCTTCACGCAGGCTTGCCAAATGTTAACTTTTTATGACACTTGTTTTAGCCTCTTCAGAGCCATTTGAGAAGGGTTTGCCAGCATGATGCTCCTCTACCCTTTCTTTAGTGTATTTTCCAAAAAACAAGGATAACCTCTTGCATAGGCATGGTGTAGTTATCAAAATCAGGAAATTAAGTCAATATACTTCTATTATCTAATCTACAGACCTTAGTAAAAAATTTTCAATCGTTCCCATAACATCCTTTATAGACAAAGAAAGAAAATTTTTTCTGGCCCAGGATCCAATCCAGGATCACACATTTCATTCGGTTTGTCTCCTCAAAGCTGGAACAGGTCCTCATTCTGTCTTTGTCTTCCGTGACCTTGATATTTCTGAAGAGTATAGATAGGCCAGTTATTTTGTGGAATGCCTTTGGTTTGGATTTATCTAGATCCAAGATTGGCACTTCCAGCAGGAATATGACAAGGTGATGCTGTGCCCTTCTCAGTATGTTGTAACAGGAGGTACATGATGTTGGTTTACCCCATTTCTGGAGGTGTTACCTTGGATGACTTAGTTAGGGTGATGTTTCTGGTAGGAAGTTTTGATTTTAGTGGTTATTGCTAAGCTACCTCCCACACAAACCTATGTCTCCTCACCGCTGAAGCTGGTGTGATTCTTGTGCTCTCTTCCCACCAGCTTGGAGGTTCCTGCCCTTCTGGTAGCTCTCTTCCCACCCCACCTCCTCTTTCTTTCTTGCTGCGGAGGCATTTAGACTGCTTTCAGTATGTGGTCTGAGAGGGTCCCCTGGGTCCTCCACAGGTGCAGCCTGCTGCGGTTCCCACGGTGGCCTGATAGACAGATGGCAGGGCCCATGTTTCAGTTCTGGAAGGAATTGCCTACTTATTTTAGGCATTACTCACTGGTACTGCATCATAAATGGGTTTATTTGCAGGCAAATGTTTTCATGGTGGGGAGATAATGGGGTCCTCTTCAGGTTTGCGGCTTGAAACTGCTCTTTTGAAGGCATGTTAGCCACAGTGATGTAAAGACTGTTGACAGTAAAGACTGTCTGTAGTGCTTTGCGGTTTACGAACTGTTTGGCCCAGTCATGTCCTTCAGCTCTCGTGACACTCTTAAGAATGAATGTAGGGCAGGTCCATTCGGGATTCCCGCACTATTTTATGGATGAGGAAACTGAGTGTCACAGATGGGAAAGAACCAGACCTGGCTCCTTGTCTGTGTGACTCTTTCATGTGACAAGTTGTCACTGCGGGTCAGAGCAGTTCGTGAAAAGGACAGGTATGGCCCCTGTCTGCAGAGCTCACTTTCTGGTAGAGGAGACAGATAATTCTCAAGTAAACAAACAAACAAAATAATTCCAGGTAATAAATGCTAAGAAGAAACTAAATCTGGGTGATGTACTAGGAAGGGGATTGGGCAGAAGGGATCAACTTGAGACAAGGGTGGTCAGGGAGGGCCTCTCTGAGGAGGTGACATTTGAGCTAAGACATGAAGGATGAGAAGATGCTGCCCAGAGGAAGACTTGGGGAAGAGTGTCCCCAACTGTAGAGACAGCAAGTACAAAAGCCCTGAAGGGGGATCAGGCTTGGTGTGTTTGAGTTACATTAAGGAGGCCAGTGTGGCAAGAACAGAGTGAGTGAGCTGGGCAGTGGATAAAGGTGAAGTTTGAGAGGTAGAAGTAGATCAGGCAGTAGGGCCTTTAGACCAAGGCGCAGGCTTTTAAGTAAGAGTGTGATATGGTCTAATTTTGATTTTTTTAAAATCTTTTTTAAAGATTTTATTTGTTTATTTTCAGAGAGAGGGGAAGGGAATAAGAAAGAGAGGGAAAGATACATCAATGTGTAGAGAGAAACATTAGTTGGTTGCCTCTTACATGCACCCAACTAGGGACCTGGCTTGCAACCCAGGCACGTGCCCTGACTGGGAATCAAACCAGTGACCTTTCAGTTCACAGGCTGGTGCTCAATCTACTGAGCCACACTAGCTAGGGCTAATTTTGATTTTTAAAAGCACTACTGGCTCCCCTGTGGGAACAGACCTTATAGAGGGTAGGGTGAGGCAGGGAGGCCAGTGAGCAGGCTTACCGCACATGTCCCTGTGAGAGAGAATGGCAGCTCGGACTAGGATGGAGATAGTCGTTAGCGAGAGGAATAGACTAATTTGAGAATGAATTAAATACAGGATTTTGCCTCCTAATGTTGACCCTGGGGGAGGGGAGTGGCTGATTCCGGGGCCTGCTGGGCTAGTCTAGCTCCCGTGCTACTCTCTCACTTCTCCTGCTCCTTCCCATTTAGATGTGTCAAATGTGTCAACAAATATTCTACCCCTGAGGCCCTGGAACATCACCTGCAGACTGCCACTCACAACTTCCCCTGCCCGCACTGCCAAAAGGTGGGTACCCCTGTGACAAAAATGGGCTAGAGGTAGTGGAGTGAGAACCTCACTGTTTCCTTCCCTCCATGCAGGCAAAGCTTGGGGTTGTGTCCACAGGTGACACTTCGTCTTTGAAGAGTAAGAGCTCTGCCTGTCCTGTTTTACGCATCACACCCCACATCTGGGGCTGCTACTGGGCCGGGCCAGGCCGGGCAGCGCTGGGCTGACATGGAATGTCTCCTAGACCCAGGCCCAGCGTCTGAACAGCGACCATCAGTTTCCTGATGTGTTATTAGCCTTGTGATTATTGGTTCTTTTTAGCAAATCTGGATGGCCTCATTGAAGCCTGTCCCTCGATATCATCAAATATCCAGGCTATGTTTCAATTTCCAATGGTCTCAAAAAAATCATAATTTTGTTAAAGTTTGTTTGCTTGAATCAGGTCTACATATTGCAGTTGGCTAGTATGAACAAAGTTTCTTTTAATATATAGGTTCCCCACACCACTGATCCTTCTTTCCCTCTTTTTTTTTTGGTCCTGTGGGGTTTCCTAAAGTCTGGATTTTGTTGATTTTAGTCCCTGAGTGTTTAATCTTTATTCTACTCATTTTCTCACAGCCTTACACAGAAGATTTTCCAGGACAGTCTCATTTTCTTGGTTTCACTTCAGCCTCATTGTAGATGTTTCTAATTGTATAGTTTAATTTTGAGGTTTGGAATTTGCGGTCCAAGTAAAAGATATCATGACTTGAGGAAGAACCATGTGCCAGATGCTGTTCTGAGCTCTTTACTTGGACTGACTCATTTAACACTAGAAGACAGGCATGTTTTTACTTTTCCATTTTATAGTTGGGAAACCAAGGCACTGAAAGGCCACCCAGCAGAACATGGTAGGGCTGATTAGTGGTGGGGCAGTTGGGTCGTTGCCCTTGGCCACTTCTCTGTACTGTGTGAATGAAAAAAGTGAATGGCTTCTGTGTTTTCTGGCTCTCTATTACCTTTTCATTCATCTCTTTAGTTGTTTGTTCACATTTTTAATTTATTCTTTTACTTGTCAGTCATTTGTCTTAGGCCCTGTGCTAGGGAATGAAAGCCCCTCCCTTTCTGTCCTCTTGGAGATATAAGCCAAGGGCTGTAATTCAGTGGGTTAAATTCTGACTTTAAAAATGTGGGTCTGTATCCTAGGGCTGGATTTGCTTTGCCTAGTGTGGCAATGTGGAGTCAGAGAGGGCTTCTCAGAAGCAGTGGGTCTTGGGTCTTGAAGTGAGTTGGGTCAGAAGTGAATTGGGTCTTGAGGATGAGTAGGAGTTTGTCAGGCTAAGAGAGAAAGGCCCTCTGGGTAGGAAAAGCACCTGGGCAGAAGCTCAGAACAGGCATGTTTTGACTGGGCTTATGGGCCAATAATGGGAGCCATGATGGTCTAAAGGCTGTGCCTGACATCGGAGGCCCCGACCCCTAGTGAGTGGAAAGGAGGTCATTTCCGTAAGGAAAGGTGGGAAGTGCTGGGCCCCTTGAACTCAAGGTGGCAAGAGCTGGAGAGTCAGATCTGAAACCGACTGCTTTCTTCTGCCAGGTGTTTACTTGCGAGCGCTACCTGCGGCGTCACCTGCCCACACATGGCAGTGGGGGCAGGTTCAAGTGCCAGGTGTGCAAGAAGTTCTTCAGGCGGGAGCACTACCTCAAACTGCATGCTCACATCCACTCAGGTGGGTACTCGGCTCCCTACCAACTCCAGCCTACTTCACCTCCCCTATCCCCCCTTTTTTGTTTTCCTTCCCATCCCTCTCTGGCTTTCCTCCCTATCTCCCTTTTGACCTCTCCCCCATCCATCTCCTGCCCCCTTTTCCTCCCATCTCCTCCTTGGCCTCCTACCAACCCATCCTCTCAAGTGACCGAGGTGCTCCCACCAACACTAGAGCAGAGATCAGCCTCTGGAAGTGTGGGGTCCCTTTGGCTTTGCCCCTTGAGAGTCCGCTCTGTCAGACCATTGTGAGTCCCTGAGCATGGGGGTGCTTTTCTCATCACCGAATTAGCACCCAGATCTGCCCTAAACCCCTCTCTTTGGTTCCTCAGTCCAGACACATTGGTTTTTTAAAATCTTTATAATGTTTTTTTATTAGATGAAAAATTATTGTTTTCTTTTTTGATACTTCTATTGAAAATGATCAAAAGCATATATAATTAAAATAAACCCTCCTCTCAGCTCAGATGGACAATCCAAATGTTTCTCAGTTTTTTTATACTATGACCTATGTTAAAATACATTTTATACTGCAACTCAGGAAACACATCTATATAGATAGAATATACTGAGACAAAAGTTTCACAAAGCAGTACTTTCTGTTCAGTTTTAGCTGTTAAAATAACCATCAACAGCTTGTGACTCCCAGTTTGTAGTTTGAAAAATACTCCTACCGAAGGCCACAGCTCCCCTCCCCAAAGACAACAGCTATTAGTGACACAGCCTGTGTCATTCCAGTTTCATTTTCATAAAAAATATTTGCTTATATACTTATATGTACAATACATATGTAATATAATAGCCTGCATCATTCCAGTTTTATTTTACATATAAAATGTCATATCATTCTATTTATATATAATGCATATGAAACATCATATAATTCTATTATATTTATATATAATATAATATATAAAGATATAAAATTATATTTTTACATTTTAAATATAAAATAGAAATATTTTATATATAAAATTATATTTTATATTTTAAATAGAAATATATTTTATATATTTTACATGTAAAATATAATAGAATTATATAACATATAATATAATAGCCTGCATCATTCCAGTTTTATTTTACATATAAAATGTTTGCTTACTTTTACACAAATGAGAATGTAATATAATTCTATTATGTACCCTTTTTTTCACTTAAAGAAATTTTTTTAAAATTTATTTTTAGAGAGAGGGGAAGGGAAGGAGAAAGAGAGGGAGAGAAACATCAATCTGTGTTACCTCTCATGTGTTCCCTACTGGGGACCTGGCCCGCAACCCAGGCATGTGCCCTGACTGGGAATTGAACTGGGACCCTTTGGTTCACAGCCCGTGCTCAATCCACTGAGCTACACCAGCCAGGCCTTTTTTTCACTTTTTAATATACCTTGAAGATGTTCCTTTACAGCACTTTTTTTCAGCTTCATAGTATTCTTCTGCATTTACCATCTTTTATGTAGCCAGTTTCCTATAGATAGACACAAATTATTTTTTGGCTATTAGTGTGTACACACAGTGCCATGTGGGTCGGGTCCCTTGGCAGGCTTTTGGTAGTATACCCGTAGTGTATACTCCATCCTAGCAGTGGAAGTGCTAGGTTAAAATGCATGTGTGGTGCTGAGTCTCAGTTTGGCTGCTGAAAAAGTCGTGGAGGTGGATGATGATGGTGGTTGCACAACAGTGTGAATGCCGCTGAACTGTACACTTAAAGATGTCAAAATGGTAACTTTCATGTTAGGTATATTTTACAATAAAGGGGAAAAAGTATATGCATTGGCAATTTTGACAGGTATTACCAAATTACTCTCTTTTAAAAATTATTATGCAAAAGTAATATGTGCACTCCGGCTGGTGTGGCTCACTGGCTTGAGCATTGGCCTGTGAACCGAAAGGTCGCTGGTTTGATTCCTGGTCGGGGCACATGCCTGGGTTGCGGGCCATGTCTCCAGTCAGGGGTGGGTGAGAGGCAGCTCATCAGATTGTCTCACATGAATGTTTCTTTTCATCTCTTTGTTCCTCCCTTCCCCTTTTTCTAAAAAAAAAAAAACCACTTTAAAAAAGAATCATACATGCTGATTATAAAAATGGAAGCAGTATAGAAAAAGTACATAACATCAAATGTTAAATTCCCTCTTCAAATCCTAATTGTTATGGACAGTTTGGCATGTACCCTCCCCTGCTCTTGTTTCTGCATATTCTGTGTATGTACAAACATATGTGGCTTGGGCTTTTTTGGAGCATGGGGATTGTATTTGGTTCTATCAAAAATGGGGACTGTATTAAGTTATTCTGTAGTTTTCTTTTCCCCTTAGCAATATGTCTAGGAGATCTTTCCAGATCAAGAAACACAGATGATCTTAGTCTTTTTAATGACTACAGAGCATTCCATTGTAAGGACCAGAATTTCCTTTATTGCTGGCTTGAGCATGGCATTGTTCAAAAGTACTCTATTTATCCCATAGGGAGAATGGAGAGGGAATAATGCCAGGAAATCAAAACAGCCCAGTAACAGCTCTTTCCTAAGGGCAGGTAGTGACCCCTGACCCCTGTGAGGTGAGAGCTCCCCCCCTCCCAGTGGTTCTGCAGCAGGACAGTCTGGGGCTACAAAGGCGAACTCTGAATCACACTGTTGGTCTAGAATCTTAGCTCCCCTACCACTAGATATAGACCATGAACTTCAGTTTTCGCATCTATAAAATGGGTTAATGATAGTAGTTACCTCATGGTTGGTTAAAAGGATCCAATTGGGTAAGATGTAATTACCCCTCCCCCATGGTGGACCTCATTTCACCAAATGCCATGACCCCCCACTCTATCACTTGGCCCACCTGAGTCTCATCCCATACTCTTCCCCTCTTCTTACACCCCATTGGCAAGGGCTGCCAGTTCTGCATTCCAAACATAATCTGTACTTGACCTCTTGCTCATTTCTTGTACCCGCGTCCTTCCTTTCTCCCCCCTCAGTCTATTGTCTCCATGCAACCAGAGGAAGCCTATAAAACTCTTCAGTCAGATTCCGTCCTTCCTCTGTTCAACCCCTCTTGTGGCTTCTTATCTGGTTTAGAGTAAAAGCTGAAATCGTTGGTTGGCCTTCTAGGCCCTCCCACTTGGGCCAGGAAGCTTCACTAACCTCATCTTCTGCCTCATTCTCCATCCCCCTACCCAGTTCCAGCCACACTGGCATCCCTGCTGTTCCTCAGACACCCTAAGTGCCCCCTCTTTTCCTTTCCTTCTCTCTGGGACCCTCACTCCCAGATTTCCACATGGCTCGCTTTCTTATTACCTCAGGCCTCACCTCACATCTTGCCCATCAGCCAGGCCTTTCCTGACCACCCTATCTAAATTGGCTCACTCTCCTTGGCAAAATAAAGTTGTGAGGAATAAGAGTGGCTGTTTTCTCTCAGGCCACTTCCCCAGAGGAGCTGCCGCCTTCTAGTAAGCACCCTTGTAGCCCATGTCCAGGCTCCATCCCATGGGATCCTCATTCCCGTTGTCTGCGTCTCCTGCAGGTGAGAAACCTTACAAATGCTCAGTGTGTGAGTCTGCATTCAACCGCAAAGACAAACTGAAGAGACACATGTTGATCCATGAGCCATTCAAGAAATACAAATGCCCCTTCTCGTGAGTAGAGACTGGCATGGAGGGGGTGCAGGTTTGCCTAGTGGTGGGACAGACAGATGTCAGTCAGGTCTGAGGACTGAAGACTCCTTTTATCCTGTCCTGGGCCCTCCCCGCTGGCTTCACTCCCCATTCTGCTTCTTTGCCTTACCATTAGGATAGACAACAGGGTCGTCATGTTCAGGGCTAGCGGGTAGACCAGCAAGAGGGTCCTGGCCTTGCTGAGCACCCCCTGACCAGTGGCTTTGTGTTCTAGGACACACACAGGCTGCAGTAAGGAGTTCAACCGGCCAGATAAGCTGAAGGCTCATATCCTCTCCCACTCTGGTAAGTGGCTCTCAGACCTGCCAGGAGGTCTGGTTCAGCATAAGCTGCCTGGGGCAGGCTCCCCACACATATTCCATGGGGCTTATTATCCCCGTCTGGTACATTCCAGCCAACAGACTTTTGTTCATGTGATTCATGAGCCAGGCCAGTGTTAGGGTCCTTGGGGTGCACAGAGGTGAGTCAGACATAGTCCCCCAGACTGAGGGGGCAGCTGACTTGAGAGAAGCTGACCATCACTCAGAGAGGTTCCGAGTGTGGTAAAGGTATAGATCAGGTATGGAGGGAGATCAGTCATCTGGCCCAAGGTAAAGCCAGGAAACATCTTCAGTCCCCTCTGTAGAGCTTGGCAGCTGGGATATAGATCCAGGGGTCTCCACACCACTCCTCAGTTTCTTGGGAGCTTCACAAAGCTCCCCCAGAGCAGCATGGCTGGCTTTCCACATACTGTTTGGTCTAGAACAGGGCTTCTCAACCTTGGCACCATTGATTTGGGGGCCAGATCATTTGTTTTCGTAGAGGGCTGCTCTGGGCACTGCAGGATGTTGAGTAGCATCTCTGGCCTCCAACCAGAAGATGTCAGTGGCATCTCCCAAGGCATATTTGTGGCAACCAGAAATATCTCCAAAGGACAGGCCACAAGTCTCCTGGGGGAAAAAAGTCACCCTTGGTTGAGAACCACTGCTTTACAGAAAGGATGGCTAAAGAAAGTTTGAAAACTGTGAGAATAGATCAGGGACTTAGAGACAGAGGGCCAGGCAAGTCTCTGCCCCTCACTAAACTAGGGAGGCGAGGGGCCTACGGCTCAGGCTGAGTGTGGGCTGGAATTGACTCCATGTGTATGTGGAGCCACCAGTGATTTACTCAGTGAGTGACCGTTGAGGACCTACCATGTGTGAGGCCCTGGGGGAGCTAGGGGGGAATGAGACAGGCAGAATCCTACGGGGCCCTCCTGGGGAGTCTTAGATTTGGCAGCAGAGGTCGAAAATGAACAGCAGACAACTAAGTATGTAGCAGCAGAGTATGCTGAGTGCAAAGATGGAGATAAACAGGGTGATGGGGCAGAGAATGAAAAGAGGAGGTGACGTGAAAAGAGCCAGGAAATGGCTTCCAGGGTGAGGGAGCAGCAGATGCAAAGCCTTGAGGCAGGGAAGGGACTGAGGGTGTTTTAGACAAAGAAAGGCAAGAGAGATGCCTGGAGCTCAGAGTTCGAAGCATGGGGAGGAAGGAGATGGTGCTGAGAGGTGAAGGGGTGGTCAGCCCACACAGAGCTTTGTGGGAAACCTGGGGGTAAAAATGCTTTAGAGCAGGGAATATCATGATCCTTTATGTGTTTTATGAAGATGTCACTAGCTGCCCTGTAGGGAATGGTGTTAGGGGGATGGTGTGAAGCAGGCAGACCAGACAGGAGAGAGATGATGGACCCGGGGAAGTTAGCCAAGGTTTGGGAGCTGAACATACTGTTCCAGGCAGAGGGAAACAGCAGGTGCAAAGGCCAGGAAGCAGGAACCAGCTTGATGCGTTTGAGAAAACCGAGTGTGGCTGGCACTGAGTGTCTAGGAGAAGGTGAGAGATGAGACTAGAGGTAGCAGGGCCCAAGTTACACAGATGCTTGTAGGCAAGCCAAGAGACTGGGTGTTATTCCCAGTGCAGGGTCAAGGGTTTGGGCGCCTCTCACTGACTCCCCCTCCCAACCAGGCATGAAGCTCCACAAGTGTGCCCTGTGCAGCAAGTCCTTCAGCCGTCGTGCCCATCTTGCTGAGCACCAGCGCGCCCACACAGGCAACTACAAGTTCCGCTGTGCTGGCTGCGCCAAGGGCTTTTCCCGCCACAAATACCTCAAGGATCACCGCTGTCGCCTCGGCCCCCAAAAGGATAAGGACCTGCAAGCCCGACGACCCTCCCGGAGGAGGTCGGCTCCCCGCAGTGGCAGCAGTGGTGGGCACAAGGTGGTGGCCCCTGTGCCTGACCCACTGGGGCTGGAGGAGTTGAAGGACACAGGGGCTGGGGCAATGCCTGAGGCTGTCCCAGGCAAGCCACCCTTCTCCGAGCCGGATGCCGTGCTGTCTATTGTAGTGGGTGGCACGGTGGGCAGTGAACCTGAGCTGGTAGTGCCTGGGCATGCTGAAGGCCTGGGCCCCAACCTGGCACTGGCAGAGCTGCAGGCAGGGGCCGATGGCCCCTGTGCCATGCTTGCTGTGCCTGTCTACATCCAGGCCTCGGAGTGAGGGACCCGTGGTGTCTGCTCTGTGGCCCAGCCTGATGCTCGCCTTTGGGTCTACAGCCTCTGAGGGCAGACTAGACATCCTTCCCTGTGGAAGCGAGCTGTCCGCTCGGCGGAAAACCTCTCAGAATGTCACTTATAAACCCTGGCCCATGACCACCCTGCTGTATCCCCTATCCTTCTGGAAAGCTCTGTAGCGTTCTGGGTCCTGGGGCAGGGCTGCCTGTTGCTTCCAGGCAGGGGTGATGGCAAGACAGATGGCTGAGCCTGAGTGGCCCATGGTCTGGCTGGGTCCAGGCTTGTGGTTAGGCTGCCTAACAGAGAAGACAGGCTAGTCCTGCCACCTGCTCTGGGCTGCCTTAGGGGTAGCCCAGCGTGGTCAGGGCCAGTATCTGCTGTACCTTTTTACATCCGGCTACTCACAGCATCCCCAGATGAATCTGTGATATAGGCATTTAGGAGGCACTCAAATGTTGTGGTGAGTGTGCAGCATCAGTCTAATCTGGTTTCAAATCCAAGTGCTATCACTCACTTGCTTTGTGACCTTGGGTAAGTCTCTTCACCTCTCTAAGCCCTGTGTTCCTCATCTGTGCAATGAGGCTTATGACAATACTACCTCATAGGGCTGTCATGAGGATCTGGTCTGATGAAATAAGTAAAGGATTCACAATAGTGCCTGGCACTTGGAAAGTGCCTAATAAATGTTTTTATCAAAATGCGTATCCACATGGCTCATGCTGTGGCTTCGGCAGTCCCTATGTGGCAGCATTCTCCCCTCCGAAGTGTGTGGGGGCTGAGGGCTCCATGGACCCTCGCACAGCACTGTGCTGCCCCATAGCCATGAAGAGGTTTTGTGTTCCCAGAGTGACGATTTCCGAACATAGCCCTTAGGAACACGCAGCAGAAGGAGTTTCTACTCACTTTTGAGAATGCAGGGTCCTGGGCCTCACTCTCAAACCCTTTGGAATCAGAAACACTGACTAGAGCCAGAGGTCCATCTTGAGCAGGCCTCTGGATGGCCACAGGTGCCCCTGCATCCAGCATTCCCTCCCCCATCCGCGTCAGTCCAGGGGGAAGCAAACTAGGGTCGTTGGGAGGCAGGGAGAGAAAGAAGGGGCCTTGGCTGAGTTCCCTCACTTATTTTCACAACCACCCTTCTGGGCCATCCTCCCTCAGTTATAAGAGAGGAAACTGAGGCTCAAGACTAAACAGGGCTCAGTGTTGGAGAACTGTTTGGCTCAGTTTGATAACTGAGTTTCCTTAAAAGCTGACACACCCCTCTCACATCTGTGCCAGGGCCCTTCGCCACATCCTCAGGAAGCGTAGGATGCAGTGGGAGGGACAAATGAGGCAGTAGTGCACAGCAGAGGGGGTGAGGGCTTTTAATGTATCCTGCCCGCATAAAAGCTAGGAGAGGGATTGATGGAGACAGGACGGCTCTTTGGAGGAAGTAACATTTGAGCTGGGCCTTCATACAGAGTGTTTGAACTCATGGGTAGTTAGGGGAAGGCAAGGTATGAGCCATGACTTCAAGTTGTGACAATGTAAGGCCTATCGTATTCCAGTGCCAGTGAATGGTCTAGGTGACCAGAGATTTGGATGCAGTGGGTAGATCATGATAATCGCTGTTCCATTCAAGTCTCCACATGGACATGGGCACTATACTAAGTCTTTTATTTCATATTACCTCAGCCCCATTAGGTGAGAATTGTTACTTTTCTTATTTTACAGATGAGGAAGCAGAGGCACAGAAAGGCAAAGTTCTTTGCCCAAGCTCATACAGCTAGTAAGTCACAGAACTGGCATTCGGGCTGGGGAGGTCTGTCTCCATGTGCTGTTAGCCACTTTGCTCTGTTGAAATATGTGTTGATACCGAATCAGAGATCCCTGGGTGTTGGGTTAAAGAATTTGGACTTTCTTCTCTACATAATGGATGAGTCATTAAACATTTAAAAAACTTGTGACATTAAAGGAAATGTTAAAAACCACACTTTCATCCTAATACAGCTATTTAAATTATATTTCTGCCTCTTCCTGCCAGTATATACATGAATGCACATCTACCAGAATCATGAGGATTAACGCTTATTAGGCACTTATGCAGTGCTTGGCATATCTTAAACACTTCGAGGTAGGTGATATTTTTAATCTCATTTTACAGCTGAGATGAGGCAACAGGCTCAGTGAGGTTAAGCAACCCAAGTCATGCAGCAGTTGGTGGCAGAGCCAGGTCACAGAACATACCAAGGTCAGGTCTGATATTTAATAGATGCAGAGTTGGACTACAGGGGAGGAGGCTAAGGCAATTTTGGGGTTCCTGTAGCTGAACCTCTCCTATGTTGACGAACAGGGATATTGAGTCCCAAGAAGGGAAGGCCCTTAGTCAAGGGTCGCTCAGGACCCCAGGGTTCTTTACAGAGCCCCAAGGTACTGGATAGAATGTAGTGTAAATGGGCTGTCCTGGGCATCCAGGGTTTCACAGATTTTGGCATCTGGAAGAGCTGGGTTTGCATCTTGGTTCGGCCCCTTCCTGGCTGTGTGACTGTGGCAAGGCCCTTCACCTCTCTGAACCTCCCTGTCCTCCTAATGTCAAATGGGGAGAATAAATAGTACCTGCCCAATGAAGTTGTCACAATTCAGAGAGAGAACTCGGGTAAAGTAAAGATTACAAATTGGCAACTCATAGGTTGATTCTAGCTTACAGAGAAACTTTGTTTAGTTTTCGGTGTTTTAAAAAATGAGCCAACATTTAAAAATAATGCAATGTAAAACCTACTGCAATGGCAAAAAGTGAGATGCATTCTCTCCATGTTAAGAACAAGACAGGGATGCCTTCTGTCGTGACGGCAACATTATTTTGGAGGCCTAGCCAAAGCAGTAAGTCAAGAAAAAGAAGTAAATGGTGGAAGGATCAGAAATGGTGAAATAATAGCAAATATGCTGAAATAATTGCAAGATCAATATATAAAAATTTACTGTGTTCCTATATCCAGAAACAATTAGAAAATTTAATTAAAATTGGGAGGTTTTACCTAAAAATCTGGGTTTCTGACTTCTAAATTTAAAATTGGGTTATTTCACAGTGGGGCAGCAATCAGGTGAAGCTGCTAGCCAGGCCCTTTTGGTGGGCCCATGCATTCCTTATGGACATAGTTATTCTTTACTGTTGTCTACCATTGCAGCTGAATGTCAATTTCTACTTACTGTACTTATGTTGATTTGTCTTAGAGTAGAGAAGTATTTCTAATTTCCCATGTCTCTCAGAGGTGGGAGAACAAGATGGCTAGAGAGGATCATATGATTTTTCATGCTCTTGGACTACTTTACTCATCTATTTTACTGTCTGGACTTTGTGGGTATATGGCTTGGGGTCCTTGTAAGTTCTGCTTCCTTTCCTCCCTTCCCTTTCCAGTCTTCTGTCTGCCTCTGCCTCTCAGCCAGTCAGCCTCAGTTTCTCTACGAATAAATGTGGGGAATTGAGTTGTGGCTAACTTTACTGTCTATGAAGCACCAAGCCCTGTGTTCCGTGCCTTATTTACCTGTCACTGAGTCCTCAGAACACCCCTCAGAAGCAAGCTGTCTTATGCTCAGTTTACAGATGCAGAAGCCAGGGCTCAGAGAGGTGTAGTAACCCGCCCAAGAACTCATAGCCAGAATACATGGAGCTGGGCTTCAAACCCAGGATTCCAAAGTTCCTGCCTTGTTTTAGGGTCACTAAAGCTCTCACGGGCTGGGGTTTTATTTGAAACTGTTTCTTTGAGGCTCCAACCCCTGTTCATCTGCTTGGCCATCATTACCCTGTCCAGGCTACCAACTTCTTTTGCATGGGTGACTGTATCAGCCCTCTCTTTGGCCTCCCTCCTTTCTCTCACCATGATCCATTTTCTTTTTCTTTTTTTGGAAAGCAAGAAGTAAAACCGTCTTTATTTATTATTTTTTAATATATTTTATTAATTATGTCATTACAGTTCTATTTCCCCCCTTCATTCCCCTCCACCCTGCACACCCCCTTCCCCACCATTCCCCCCTTTAGTTTATGACCACGTGTCTCAAGTTCTTTAGAGTGTATATTTCCCATACTATTCTTGCCCCCGTATCTATTTTCTACCTACCATCTATGCTACTTATTCTCTGTACCTTCCCCCGCTTCTCCTTCTCCCACTCCCCTGTTGCTAACCCTCCATGTGATCTTCATTTCTATGGTTCTGCTCCTGATCTAGCTGTCCTCTTAGTTTGCTTTTGTTTTAGGTGTGGTTCTTAATAATTGTGAGTTTGCTCTCCTTTCACTGTTCATCTTTTTTATCTTCTTTTTCTTAGGTAAGTCCCTTTAACATTTCATATAATAAGGGCTTGGTGATGATGAACTGCTTGAATTTGACCTTATCTGAGAAGCACTTTATCTGCCCTTCCATTCTAAATGAAAGCTTTGCTGGATAGAGCAATCTTGGATGTAGGTCTTTGGATTTCATAACTTGGAATACTTCTTTCCAGCCCCTTCTTGCCTGGAAGGTCTCTTTTGAGAAATCAGCTGACAGTCTGATGGGATTTCCTTTGTAGGTGACTGTTCCCTTATCTCTTGCTGCTTCTAGGATTCTCTCCTTCATTTTAATCTTGGCTAATGTAATGATGATGTGTCTTGGTGTGTTTCTTCTTGGGTCCAACTTCTTTGGTACTCTCTGAGCTTCCTGGATTTCCTGGAAGTCTATTTCCTTTGCCAGATTGGGGAAGTTATCCTTTATTATTTGTTCAAATAAGTTTTCCACTCGTAGCTGTTCCTCTTCCCCTTCTGGTGCCCTTATAATTCAGATGTTGGAGCATTTAAAGATGTCCTGGAGGTTCCTAAGCCTCTCCTCATTTTTTTGAATTCTTGTTTCTTCATCCTTTTCTCTTTGGTTATTTTTTTTCTCCTGCTGGTCCACTCCTTTGATTTGAGTCTCAGTTTCCTTTCCATTACTATTGGTTTCCTGCGCATTGCCATTCATTTCAATTAGTTTAGCTTCCATATGTTCCTCTAATTTGTGACTAAAATCAACCAGTTCTGTGAGCATCCTGATCACCAGTGTTTTGAATTGTGCACCTGAAAGTTTTGCTATTTCTTCATCACTTAGATTTATTGGCTCTGGGGCTCTGAGTTGTTCTTGAGCCATGTTTTGATCTGTTTGTGCCTGTTACGTATGAGGACTGGGGCCTTAGATGTTCACTGGGGCGGGGCCACCTAGGTCGCTGGTTTGTGATGCTGTAGGTGGGGGCAGGGTCAGAGAGGGACAATGGCAGTTCCCTCTGCCACTTCCTGACACTGGGGCCTGTGCGGTTCATCTCACAGATCACTTCTTCACTGGTTTATCTGCGTGCAAATGTGTGACCACTGCCAGCACTCAGTGGGTCCACCGCCTTGCACCCTCAGTGGGTCCACCCGCTTCTCCACACCTGGGATCCGCCCACGGCTGCTGGTGCACCTGGGTCGCATGCCCGGGTCAGTCTGATGGATCTTTCCTGCCTGACCCAGCTCTGCTGCTGGCTCTGCCCCTCTTACTGGTTTGGCTGAAGGGTTTGTTGTTGTCAGACTTCTGTGTAGTTCAATTTTCTGTGGTTTGGCTGCATTTTTGTTGCTAAAACTTTGTTGTTTTTAAACTTGGTTATGCGAGAAGGTACAGTGCTTCTACCTACGCCTCCATCTTGGCGAAAGTGACCATGATCCATTTTCTTGACAGCAGCTGAAGGGATCTTTCTAGAACCTGAATCAGATTGTGCCACTTTCTTGTTTAAAATCCTCTAGTGGCTTTTGATTTCTCCCAGAATGAAATATAAAGTTTTTTTTCTGTAGATTTCAAGGTTTTACCTGATGCCACCCTCATCTGCTACCACTCTTCTCTCATTCCAGCTACACCTGCTGTCTTGCTGCTCCTCCATCATATAAGCTAGTTCCTGTCTTAGGGCCTTTGCACTTGCTGCTCCCCCATCTACAACTTTCCCCCCCTGGATCTTCATATGGCTGGCTCTCTCACTCCATTCACCTTTGTCCAAAATTCATTCCCTCTGAGAGGCCCTCCCTGGCCTTTCTGTCTAAAATAGCTCCCATCCCTCCCTCATCACAATCTAATTCCTTATAATGCTTCATTTAACAAAATTTTTTTAAGATTTTATTTTTAGAGAGAGGGGAAAGAAGGGAGAAAGAGAGGGGGAAAATATTGATGTAAGAGAGAAATATTCATTGGTTCCCTCTCACAAACCCCCCCAGCTGGGGACCTGGCCTGCAGCCTAGGCACGTGCCCTGAAAAGGAATCGAAACGGTGACCTCTCTGTGTGGCAGAATGACACCCAACACACTGAGCCACATAGGTCAGGGCTGCTTCATTTTTATTCATTATCCTTGACATTATGTTAGACATTTCTTTATTGTCTCTTTCCCTATTAAAAACAAAAGGTCCACAAGGACAAGGCCTTTTGTTTGTGCACTGATATTTTTTATAGTGTCTAGTACTGCCCAGAAATTGCTTGATCAGTATTTGTTGAATAAATAATCATTCAACAAGTGACAACAGCACTTTGAGAGAACAAGACCCACTCTACCCATCCTGTTTTCCAGTCGCACAAAGGAGAAGGGTGAGATTTTCTCAGTAAGAATCTGCCATGTAGGGTGAGAAACGCTAACCCAAAGCCCTGGAAGTTAATGTCTGATACAAAGAAAACTTTCATTTTAAGAGGGAGCTGAAAATATCTGGGACAAATAACAGAGGCGGTGGCTTGGAAGTCTCAGTTGACAGAGCAGGTATTCTGTGTGGCCCAGGAGAACAGGTTGGGCCAGTTTTATCTCCCCTGGGGA